TCAAAAATAAAATTATATCAGTGATATTTAAAAAATATGTTAAATGGATATTTATGAATAATAAATATAAGTAGTTTAATTATCCACATAATAATAAAATAAATATTATTATATAACCAATAAAATAAAACTATTGATAGAAAATAATAATTTTTGAATAATTATTTAGAATTAAAATTTATAAATTTGTAGTTTTTATATAAATTTATAATAATTAAGTTATTTTCTAAAAAATATTATTTAAATTTATGTTATACAACAATCTTAATATTTTATAAAATTTAATTTTACTTATATTAATATTTGATAATTTTATTTTATTTAAGTTATATTTTATGATAAAAATTTATTAAAATATATTTTATAGAATAATTTATAAAAAATTTATTTAAAAAATATTATAAAATAAAAATATCTGTGATGTCTACAAATATCTACAAATATAAAAAATGTGTAAATATTTTATTTTTAAAATTGAACTAATAATTAAATAGGTGAAAATATGAATTTAAGAATTAAAAATTAATCTAATCAAATTTAATAAAATAATATTTTTATAATATAATAAATTTTGTATAAAATAAAATAATACGTCAAAAATTATAAATATAAAATATATTAAAAATTTAAGATAAATAATTATTTAAAATAAAATAAAATATAATAAAATAATAATTATTTAAAATTTATATAATATAAAATAAAAAAGTAAAATATATTATATTTTTTATAAAAAATTATATTAATTTTTTTTTAATTAAAATATTTTTTTTAGAAAAATTAATTTAAACTTTTAACCAATTTTATCGATTTTAGTAACTAAAATCTAATTATTTAAAAATAACGCACTAATTTTTAATTTGATTATCAATTCAATCAATATGTCTAGTCTAATTCAGTAAAAGATATAATAAACAATTTTTTTCGCCTGTAGTATGGATAATGGGTAATAGATATTATCTGTGACCACCTGGTTGTCATTCCCACTGCCAAATTTCTTTTGGATGTAAATATTACGAAAGTTGATGCATTTTTTTCTCAAATTTATTTATATTTCGTATCATTGTTATAACATAAAATATATCCAGATAAGAAGGTTTGAAAAAGTGTTGAAACAATAATTGAATATGGAAGCTTGTGCACGAGTTTCAAAAGATACAAATTCCTGAAAAAAAAAAAAAATAGACTACATTTTTTTATTGTCAAGGCTTGAACCTGCACTAAGATATGGAACACATTAATTGGTGGTGTTTTTGGAGGATAAGGTCAAAACGTTTTTGCTTGTTTGAGGCAATTCACTTCAATTTCCAAAATTTTATCATTTGACCACTCTTTTGGTTTTCAGTGTTTTTCTTCCATTCTTATTACAGCTAAGATACGTTTACAATTTCGCAAACCAATTTAAGAGACAGAATATACTATCTTCCATATAAAATAACACAAATACTTATTTTGTTTTTTATTATTTTTGTAGCCTAATCATTTTAGACTCGTTTTTTTTTTATCATAAACTAAAAAATACCCAATAATACTTACAACAACACAAAATGTTAAGAAATTATCAATTTTGATATTATAAACGCACTAAAACATGATATTTACATTTTGAAGTTAGAGTTGGCCCATTTAGGAAAAAGACAAATATGTTGGCCCAGAATAATTCAAAAGATAACAGAGCCCAGTCCAACATATTCAGCAAACCCAACAAATACATTCCACAGAGTAAAATACAAACACAAAGAATAGTAGTCTTCACACAAAAAAATAAAAAATAAAGTGTGGACTGAAAACAGATAATGATGGCACAGTGACAAACCCCTAAAGTAACCTATTGACACGTCAAAAGACAAAACAATGACACCAAATCAAATTTAAAGTATTTGAAAAATAAAAATAATTAATAATTTACCGTTTTTTCCTAATTTAAGATTCATAAAAAAACTTATTCTCCACACATATTTATTATTTTTCACAAATATTTTATATAAATCTATTTTATATTTTTACCGTATGAAAAACACTGCTTTGATATTAAGGAGAGACAGAACAGAAAAATCAAGAATAAATCCAGAATAAGCTACCTTAAATCCGAATAGGGGAAGGAAAGGAAGAAAATAAAGTGACAGAAAAATAAATAAATTAAAATATATTATAATTTTTTATCTCTTCTGTCGGTCAACGTGATTATTTAGCTCAAAAAATCCAAAACCGGACTAGTTAAAGACAGTGCAAGATAAAATATAAAATAGATTATATTGGTACTAAAGTACTCAAATTTTATGATTCTTCCTATACTTTAAGATTTTCGTCTTGTTTAGAAATTGAGACTAAAATATTTTTTATATATTATTTTTTTAATCTATTAATATATTTTAAAAAAATTGTGACAAAATAAAATTTTAACACTGAAGTAATGATACTTTCTAATGATATTATAAAGTTAGGGTAGATACCTTTCCATACTTCTAATAAAGCAAATAAACAAGAGATTTACTTGAAAAAAGAAATTTCAAATCCTTCATTTGGGCCAAAATATATAATTTTAAAGGGTTAAATTGAGATGGGCTGGTCAGACCCAAATATAGGAGTTCTGCATATAAAATATAAAACCATCCTATAGCTACCGCCACTCAATTAGGGTTGTTGCATACATCCCTCAGAGTTTTTTTTTTTTTTTTTATTATTATTTTTGTTCTTTTTCAGTATATGGTGTTTGGTCTGAATTCAATTTTAGCCGAAACTCCATAGCTTTTGTGTTTTCCTTTCATGTCTCTCCCGTAAAACCATATTTGTTTTTCTTCTGTTGTTTTGGGGGATATCTGGCGCAGCAAAATTTCATTTTTCATTTCTGGATTTGCATTTTTTTGCAGATTTATGAAATGAGTGTGCTATTTTAACTCTGATGAGTCTTACAGATCTGTAATGAGTTGCGGGTATGATAGCAAGCGTTAATGAACATCTAAGGGACTGAGTTATTATGTTTGTGTTGTTTACGAGCTTTTCAATTGTTTTTGCTTGTAAAATGTGTATGGGTTTGTATCCTCTTTGTTTTTAATTTGGGTGTGTTGTTGTTTATGAGATTTAAAATGGCTTCAAATCTGGTATATGCTTGCTCAATGTGTTTGGCAGTTTTTTTTTTTTAGAAAATTAGAAGTTGTTGATTTGAGATCAATACATTTTAGTAACTGAGGTTAGTGTTTTGAATTACTTGGAATTGAGTATTTTATCAGAAGAAGATCCAATTTTCTTCTTCGGTGACGGTGTCTTGAATTCTACTGTGTGTTATATCAGACGGGGTATTGAAGTATTGTTTGAAGTATTATATCATTGACAGATTATGATGAAGCAAAGTACATAATCCAACACTTGATCTGAGATATCTTAGTGATTGTAAACCGTCCTTTATGCTTCTGAATCTACCTGGTTTTGTACCTTTTTCTCTTTTTTGGTGACAAGCTGTGCCTTAGTGAATTGAACCATGGCCATAGGAGTTAGCTTGTCTTCTTAGTTTTTCACCCTAGAAAATAGTATAACAAATGTTTTTGTCTTTGTTACCTTTGATTTATGCTTTTGTGGTTTGTATAATTGTATTAACATCTACCAGGCTACTCTTTCTTATTGACTTATCTCTATACTTTGTTGTTGCTGGATTTGCTTTCATATTCTTTGTTCTTGTATTTTCTATGTTAGCTCATCAAGTGAACGAATTTGAAAAATCAAAGGGCACCTTTCTAGAAAGCAGATATTGCTAAGAGTTTGAATGAATTTTCCATGATGATGGTGTCATATCATTGGATAACAGTATATTCACTTTAGACACTTCTTCCACGGCCAATGGAAGCTGTTACAAATAGCTTCTAAATTATTAGTTGTATGTTCAAAAGTTGAAAGAGAGTACTTGTATCCACGCTACAAGTTCCATTATCTTTAACTTCTTATATATATATAATATGTAGAGAGAGAGAGAGAGAGAGAGAGAGAGAGTATAATGTTCTGTTTGGTCAACAAATTGTAGTACATTCTCCATTTCGATTAATTTTTATGCCTTGTAAGGATAACTATTTAGAAATCACCCTTTTATTATCATAATACACAAAGCTGCCATTAATTTATAAAGAGGAGAATTGTTGTCTTAGTACATGAAAGGGAAAATGTCACTCTATTTTTATATTTACACATTCTATAGTTGTATTGGATTATATTTTATAAAGGATTAGATACTTCATATGATGTATAGCTAAAATAAAAAAATTATATACAGTTCTAACATTTGTGACTTATCATTGAGTTTTAAACATTTGTGAGAAGAATAATAATGCAAAATGTTTGTATATCTTATAGATATGTTTAAACAATCCCAAGGTTGTTTGATATATATGTTTAAAAATTAGTTTCTAACTAAAACAATTTATAGTAAAACGACAATTTAAAATGTATTATTTTGAGATAATAGAATTCTTAACTAAGAAAAATTTTCTATGTATCATGAATATTATTTAAAAGAAGGTTATAGGTTTTTGCCATAATAAATAATTATTTATAAAGTTAACTAATTTTTACATCAATAATATAATCATAAAATAATTCATATAATTTAGACGTGGATTGGATCCAATTTATACTAACTCAGTTCTGAATAAAGATGGTAATCCAAACCCAGGTTTTTAAGATGTTACAAAGGGTAATTGATAACTTTGAATTTATTGTAAATAGTCTTTATTAATTCTGGTTACTTCTGAAGTTATTTTCTTCAGGAGACAGATTTTTTCTTTAGAATAGATGGTTAATCTCATTGGTGTTTCTATTTCTTAGAAAACTGTTTACTATTATTCCTTTGGGCACCTGTGGTATTTGGTCAGAAACATTAATACATTATAAAACATTATTAAATGCTTATGTATACCTCGTAAATACATCACTCTAACTCAACATTTAATTGAGTCAACAATTTCTCACTAAAATTAGACATGGCTGCTTCAGGTTTCTTATTGCTCTGTTTCATGCTTGCTTTTGCTGTTCCTTGCTTTGCTCGTGGCATTCCCACAGGTATACGTTGATCTTGTATCGAGCTTTTCTTTCTTCTCAATATTTTTGTTTCCATAAACATGGTCTCACAGTATCTCAAATTTCTCTGCACAGTAAAAGAATCAATCCTAAAAACATCATATCAACTTCTTAAATCATAGGACAGATTTTAAACCACTAAATCAGGAGACTATAAAATGAAACAGAGTGGTCGAATAACTTCTGAGATGTTAAATTTTGTGAATTTTTAACAATTTTTATAGATTCATTTCCTCCAAGCATTGAACAACATCATCAATTGTTCGACGAGGAAGACAGAGTTATGTCATGCGCCCAATTCCACAAGCCAAAATTTCGGGTAATTCATTACAGATTATTTTTAATCTCTTTTATAAAAAAAACATGTGTTAAAGGCATAAGACATACTTAAGTTTTCAAACTGGGGCTCAATTAAAATAATTAGAACATCAAATATAGAATTATAAATATTTTTTAGTTTGGAAACCTAATTAAAATAATGATTAATTAATTTAATCTTTGAAATTTAAAGACTACTTCCAAAAAAGTTTTCTGCATTTAATAGAGCCATTGATTGTTCTCTTTCATAATTTTATTTAGATTTAATAAAAACAACGGTTGACAAGTAGTCTTACAGTTTTTATTCAAAAAAACTAAAGGTTAACATTGCTTGCTTATTTATTTTCTAAAAATATATTTTATTTTATTAGGTTTACTTAATCTTATTAATTGGTGACGATGTTTTTTTTATCCAGAAATTTTTATTATTAAATTATTGTTTCTTAAAAGAAAAAATAAAGTCTCTCTATATATAAGCTTGGAGTACTCGGCCCATGAAGGCAAAGGATTGGGCTGGATAGAAGTTTAGCCCAGTCCATTTTTACAGCAAATTATATGTCCTTCATAGAATTGTCTTGTAGAAAAAAATGTTTTCACCTTTACTGACGACTAATTAAATATGTGTTCACTATTTAAAACTTAATTCACCAATACAAAAACTATACCATAAAAAAAGAAGTTTCAAAATAGTATTCTGATTTTAGTTTTTTTTTACAAATAACATGATTGTAAACCAATGCTTATACATTGATAATTGGTAGTTTGATATACTTACAACCTAATTTTATCATATAATAATGTTAATAACATTTAAATAAAATTATTATTATTAATAGTTATAACCTAATAGAATGGTTAATGTGATTCTTGCTTATATAACAATAATATTAAACTTTTTCAATTTTCTACTTCATTTTTAATTGGTACATAAATTTTTCTTTTCAGAGAATTGAGAAATGATGGTAGATGGTGCAGATATTGACTATAGTGGCGCACATACTCAACCATGCCCCCTCCTCAAAAGTCATCATCAATTCTATTGTTCTAAGGATTATATTTTGTCTTCTTATTATCATAAATGATAATTAGAGAATAAAAAGCTACTTTTTTTTTATCATTCAATCGTAATAATAACACACGTTCAATCATACATTTTGAGTTGTCGTATTAATTATGTTATAAAAATATACTAAATTAGAAGGAATTATGATATTTACTGAATTATCCTTTACTATAATAATAGTTAATAATTTTTGAACAAATGGTTTTGCTAAAAGGGGAAAATTTATAAAAATTAATCATAAGAAAAAAATATTTGGATGCGTCGGTTAAAAGTTTAAGATGTCATTTTTTTTAATAATATTTATAAGTTTGTCATATTAGGAAATCTTAATAAACAATATTTAACTTTTAAATTGATTTGTAAATAAAATAAACTTCAAAAAAATGTGAATATAGTCAGGCTTTTAAAGATGAACAAAGTTGTATACGTACAAATTAAATTATTAACAGCGTTTAAATAGATTATAAAAAGAATAAAGACCATTAAAAACTCTAATTTATTTATAATTTTTACAGTAAAATCCATTTATATAATAATAATTTTATTTATATTAAAAAATAAATATCAGAAATGGCCAATGCCCCTGGTGTTGTTCATAAATACCAAAAGGTCCCTCGGGTCGCAGGTTATAGACAGGAATGATCAAATGATTCAAATATACTAAAATTACGAACGTTAATATTTTTTATTTAATTTATTAGACTCGTACTTTTTTGCTACAGTTGTTTTTCTCAAAAGTAATCTTCTAACTTTTTATTCTCTGCCAATGTATTTTCAAAAATTTAAAAGTTGGAATTTTAGTTTGTAATGTTTCAACTACTGAGATGACCTAAAATTCAAAAACTTGGGCTTCACAAAAGAAAAAATATAAGTATTTTTTTATAAGTTTTCTAAATATTTATCAATTTAAATTTAGGATTCTAAATAACTTTAATTAATTGAATATATAATAAGATATGATGTTTTTTTCAAACATTAATTGATATGGATGTAAATAGTTTTAACAAGATATATCTGACAATATCTAATCTTTTAATTTACGAACATTTAATTACATGGTATAAACTATGGGTCGAAGCTTTTGATTATTAATTTGGTAAGAAATCCCCACCTGATTTTCATTGATAGTTTTGGGAACTTAGCTTTTAAAATTCATTAATGTGGTCAAATTGTTTTGAATGAAAAGGCTTTATAAGAACACAAGCGAAGAGTAGCAATAACCAAGAAATTTAGAGATGGCTTCTTCAGGTCTTTTATGCGCGTGTTTCATTTTTGCTTTTGCGATACCTTGCTTTGCTCATGGCTTCCCCTCAGGTGTATATGCACATTCTTAGTTGTTTGTATATTTTAGAACATGTGTTTTGCATTTTAGATTTTGTAAGAATGGTTAACTCTCCTCAATTTTATATTCTATGCATATAGACCTAAAAATCACATGCAAATCCCATCCATTCCATGTTGTCTTTGTTCATGCTAAGGAAAAATAATTTTTAAGATTTACGGTATTATTCTTATTATCATTTAATTCCTTTATAATTACAAGTATCATACAAGCATTCTTGTGTATAATCTTTCTAAAAAATCGCATCTTAAAAATTTTATTTTATGTAACATTATTTCAATTTAAATTAATTATTATTTTTTGTTTGATTTTACAGGAAATTTAAAAAGGTTATCAAAACAATTGAATTATAAAGATCTTAGCATATTTTCAAAACTTCCTCCATCTTCTGATTAGGGAGTCAATTGAAGATATAAATTATAAAAGTTTTCTCACACATTCACAAAATTCACCTCTCCTTGAGAGCCTACTAGAAGATATAGACTATAAAGGTCCACACATGCACCCACAACCTCCTCCATCATCGCTTAATAAGTTACTAGAAGACATCGATTATAAAGGTCCTCGCACACATCCACAACCTCCTCCACCACCACTTGAAAAGTTACTAGAAGACATCGACTATAAAGGTCCTCGCATACATCCACAACTTCCTCCACCATCGCTTGATAAGTTATTAGAAGACATCGATTATAAAGGTCCTCGCACACATCCACAACCTCCTCCACCGCGGCTTGATAAGTTCCTAGAAGACATCGACAATAAAAGTCTTCGCACATATCCACAATCTTCTCCACCACCACTTGATAAGTTATAAAGATTCACTTATACATCCAAGTCCTCTCCACCTAATAGCAAAAAGTAAAATGTACAATTATTAGTCAATATAAAATATACTATAATAATATAATAATTTGTGACAAGTTATTGAAAGTTTTTCTAGTGTTAATGTCTTGGAAAGATATCATGATCAATATTTTTTAAAATTAGAATGATAACTTAAATGGTAATAAATATGGGTTTAAGATTTAAATATTTAATTAAGATTCAATTAAATTTAATTAAATAATATTATTAATAATATAATAAGTATATTGTAAATTCATTAATAACTACTATTTTAAAAAAATAATGAAAGTTGTTATTATGTTATCATAAATTATAAATATAAATATAATAAAAATAAAAGATAGATAATTATAAAAAAAATAAAAATATAATAAAATAATTATGATTTATGTCGATAAGATTTGTATAAGACAAATGAAGAAAAGAAACTGAAAAAAAGTGTATTATTTATATAAAAATTTATTTTTTTAAAGAATTTTAAAAATTTGGATCTTCTATTTTTTTATTAAAATAGAATTAATTCAAAAATTTAATTATTTTTTTATATTTTATATTAATTTAATTAAAATTTTATTATTTAGAAGGAATTTACCAGTTTTCGGAGTAGCAATGAATAAGAGAATAGTAATGTACATATTTTTATTTTGTTTCATCCTGGTTTCAAGTTAAACCATAATTATTTATATTTATTTATTGAAAGATAGATAAAACTATCGACATAAAGTTATTTTATTAAGAATGCGATTTTTTTTCAATTGTATATATTCAGCCTATCAATGAAAATCAAAATAAGTACTCACAAAATGAACCTAAAGATGCCTAGACAATTATTAAGAGGTGAATTAGTAAAAGTTAGAGTTTTCAAAATTAAAGACTCCTCTTCTAAATTTGGAAAAGAATGTCTCTTGAATCCCTTGATATCTAGGTTTAGGTGCAGACTTAATATCCTGAAATACAAGATATTTTTAAAAGAACTTAAAAAAAAAAAATAGAAGATGGACACCAATTTAAAAATATTATTATGACCCAAAACGTTGACATGAGCAATTGTTTTGAGATTCTCGAACTCTAATTGAGGACTCCTATATTGAATTAAAAAAAATATATAAATAAAACGATTTTTAGTTAATCGACTGCGTAGAAGTATAATAAGACTGCAATGATAATGAAAATGACGTGGACTATACTAAAGCTTATAAAGTGGCTTTGAAGCAAACTCATTCCACATACATAGCAAGGTTTAATTAATTATACACATTAAATTTTATAATAACACTCCTACATCAATGACTTTTTCATAAACAATAATAACTCAGTCGAAGAAGGAAACAGATTAAGCAAAGGCAGTGATAGAAGTGACGAAGGAATTAGCCAGCTAGGGTTTTGATTTGTGACGTTAACGTTGGGGAATCAAAAACTAAGTTAAGAATGTTTCATAGCCAAAAACTGAATTGAAAATGTTTTCGTTGGAAAATGTCTACGTCAGTGGCCGGTAGAATGAGATGGAATTGACCATGGCAACAGCCACCAACCCCAAACAATAAAAAAAATGTAATTAGCCAACAAGGAAGTGCTCAAGTCAAATCTCCAATATAGAAAAATGTTCCTATAATTAATACACATTCAACATAATTACTATATTCTTATCCTTCTTTTTCTTCTACTTTTTATCTAAAAAGAAATCGTCACTTGTTTCAGTCAACGTTTGATTGTTCACAGATTTTGGTGCCGGTTTACATGCAATCATGCAAACCATTTTTTTTTTTTTATAATTTCAGTACTTCTATTTGTAGGTCATGCTTAACAATTCAGACAGTTCTTATTTTTATTAACTCTCTCCAATTTTTGACTCATTCTAGCCATCTTAAATTTATCATCTATACTTTTTTGGGCTGTTTTCTTATAATAATTCCGGCTTTTCTTTTACAATCCAAACAGTGACAGTGAACGTTAAAATAGCAAAAACTTTGCTATTTGAATATTTCATCTCATCCTTGCGTAAAAATAGAAAATTACTTTTTTTTTTGGGGAAACTTTAAATGATTATATTCATCTGTAACATATTTTTACTTGGAAGATTGGCGTGATAGAATTAATCGCCGACCAATTTAAGTTTTCGGCAGCAGGTACCAAAAATTCTAGAAAACCGGCCATACAAAATGGAACGTGGTTAAACCACGGGTGGCACCAAAAAGATGTGGTCAAAGTGTCAAACATCAAAGAACGTTTTAACTTTATCATTTGACCATTCTTAATAATCACAACTCTTTTACTCAACAATATTTAATACCTTTTAATTCCATAATTAAGTTAACTCTTAAATATATTATTAGCCGTAATAAGTACAGTTCTGATTTAAACAGTCTGTTTAAGATTAAAAAAAGTGGTTATTTTGTATAAAGTATCTACCAATTATTTTTTTAGAGAATTTCTGATAATAGAATCTGATTTTTTTTTTTAACAATCATGAAAATCAAAATTTTTAAAACTTGGTTGATTTCATGAAACTATTTAAAACACTTGAAAATTAAAAGAAGTGATTATTCCTTTTTTTTAATGAATACATTTTGATTTTTGTTTCTATTTTAATTTTCAAAAATTTTAAGTTGTTATTTTCAATTTTAATAATAACATCCACTCTAGAAATATAAGAACATTAGGAATTTCATTCAAGTTTTTTTTTGGTAAAGAAACACTACTCCATATATACTATCTAAAACAGTCATTTAACTTTTCATTAAATATACAAATAAATAGTAAATCTCACAGTGTAACAAAATAAAAACAATAATTCAAACATTTAGAAAGAAATTTTCTATAAAAGTTAAAATCAAAATCCTTTTTGACTATTAAATATATATTTTCTTAGTCAAACTAAAAATAAATTTAATCCTAAAAAGACAATTTAAAAATATAAATGACATGAGAAGAATATTAGTAATATAAAAAAGCAAAAATGTGAATGATGAGCGAGTCCCCACTTTGACCCTTCTTCAAGGCACACAAATTCTCTCCTTTAAATACCCTCTCTCCTTTCTCTCACCCTTTAATCTACCCCAAACAAAACTCAAACCCAAAACAAAATAAGACACGTACAGTTTTCTTGAAGAACAGGAACAAGAAATTCCATACTTATAACGTTGTTATTGCAACATGTCTTGTTCCGTGGCAGTGCCCACTTCCCCTGTGTTCTCCCTCTTCAACAACAACACCAACAACAATAACTCTTCTTCCGTCGCAGAACCTCTCATGCTTTCTCTTCCCATTCCCTCTACGACGCCCTCTTGCTCCTCTCCACCCTCCTCTCCCCTGCTGAAGCGAAGGAGACCTGCAAAACTCGACATTCCCGCTGCTTCTTTTGCTTTTACGATATCGCCGGCCCCGGCGCCGTCTCCGGCGATGGACGCGGTGGTCGAGGTAGAAGGACGCGGGTTTTATGTGTTCTGCAAACGGGGAAGGAGGCTCCACATGGAGGATCGTTACTCCGCTGCCGTTGATATTCACGGGGAACCCAAACAGGTAATTTAGAATGAGGTTTCCTAATTTATTTCAAAATTTTGGTGTTTGGAACTCAACAAAAACAAAGTTTGGTGTTGGGTGTGTTTGGCATTAACGTAACATTTGAATCACTTCAGAAAACCAATAAATTAGAGACAAATTTAGTGACCAAAATTGTTCTTTTCTCACTAATTTTAATGTAAACAATGTATTGATAAAACTTTTAGGATTATTATAAATAGTTGGCCAAATTATTTAGTGGATGATTATCAGGTGGACGTGTTTGTCCACAATAATTTATAGAACAAAAAAGTTAAAATTAATTTGTACATAATTTAAAAGATTTTTTTAAATTACATAAGAGTTTTTACAAATTAGTTTAAATTAATGTTGATTTACAAACGAAATAATTTATACTTTTCTATTCCAAATTTTCTCTTTTAGAGGTTGTTATGAAAAAAACTCGTTTAAACTTGAAACATGCTATTTTTTTTTAATTAAATCTTGGGGTCTTAAAATTGCTACAAATTGTCATTTTATGATAAGTTTAAGCTGATGTAAACTAATTTTCAGCATCAAGTAATTATTATTATTATTATTATTATTAGAAAATTATGTTATAAGTATTAAATGTTCGTCAATTTTAATAATAATAATAATAATTAAGTTCTGTCAAAAAATTTCGTTAGCTATTTTATTTTGAGAATCTATTTAAATTTTTAAATAGTTTAGAAACTGCTTTAACCTAAAGACCGTCATTAATTTTATTTCTTCTAGAAGTGAATTCTGTTTCATAAATATGCAATTAGTTTTAACATGGAATTTTTTGTTGTTATTTGTAGGCTTTCTTCGGCATATTTGATGGGCATGGGGGCACAAAGGCTTCGGAATTCGCTGCACATAACTTGGAAAAGAACGTGTTGGATGAGGTGGTTAGGAGAGATGAAAGTGACATTGAGGAGGCAGTGAAGCATGGTTACCTCAACACAGATTCTGAATTCTTGAAGGAGGATTTTCATGGTGGCTCTTGCTGTGTGACAGCATTGATAAGGAATGGTAACCTCGTTGTGTCCAACGTGGGGGATTGTCGTGCTGTGATTAGCAGAGGGGGTGTGGCAGAAGCCCTCACATCTGATCACAAGCCTTCAAGGGAAGATGAAAGGGACAGAATTGAGACTCAGGTAATTGATTAATTAACCATGTAATCCTTATTGCAATTTGTCTTCCTAGCATGTGTTCCAATAATCTCATGACAAGTAGTTGAATTCTTTCTTAAATTGAATATTTTGACTATTTAACATGGATTGATCGGTCCAAACTATGAACATCTGATCGTCTAGTATTTCTGATATGTAATTTACCCTCTTTCAAGGTCTTAATTTGACATTAATTTGTTAATTTATGTAGGGTGGCTATGTTGATGTGTGCCGTGGTGTGTGGAGGATCCAAGGATCATTAGCTGTTTCTAGGGGAATTGGTGATAGGAACTTGAAACAATGGGTGATAGCAGAACCTGAGACCAAAGTTCTTAAAATTGAACCGATGCATGACTTATTGATCTTAGCTTCAGATGGCTTATGGGAAAAGGTATATACATTCAAATGTTAATGCAGTAATTTCATTTTGATAAATTTCATCATGCTTGCATGATATACATCACTCATCTATTAACTGATTAAACTTCTATTTTTGTATGTGTTGTTTGATCAGGTTAGCAATCAGGAAGCAGTGGATATTGCTCGTCCTTTTTGTGTAGGGAACGATAGACAACAACCTTTGCTGGCTTGTAAGAAGCTCGTGGATTTATCTGTGTCACGAGGCTCTTTGGATGATATAAGTGTCATGATTATCAAGTTACAAAACTATGTTTGACGTCTCATTGCTACAAGAAGAAATAGGGAGGGTAAGAAGGACTCCATCATCAAAGTTAGGTCATTCCTAGCCTTCAACAGTCAGAAGATGATAAATGCGATTATTATGGTTAAAGGATAGAAGTTGGCACCCTGAAATTAAGTGTACTTAATTTTTAATCTGTATATATCCGACGAATGGCAGAGTTCGTCGAAGATATTAGCACTAACTTAAAGTAATTTTTTTAGTAGAATGATCTTCATGTAATGAACATCTTTTGGTTGTATAAAGGGGTTGAATCTGTATCCTTCCTAGTGCAAATTATCTATCTATCTATCTATCTATCTATCTATCTATCTATATATATATATATATATATATATATGTATATGTATATGTGTATATCATATGTTATAGCAAGTGTTAATTTTTTTGTATAATTCATGTATTTACTTGAAGTTGTATACACAACTCTTTCTGGGTACATTGAGTGCACAGTTGAAAACAATAATCAAAGAGCAACAGCAAACCAAGCGATCTTATTTGTTTACCTGACTATGAATATTGAAGCTGTGATTGTAAGACTTGGATGGTTTTTGCGCTTCCATAATGTAGTTTTGTGTAATTTATATACCTAGAATTGGTTTCAAATCTCATTATTCTCCATCTCTTACAGAAAGCAGTATTGTAAACAGTAGTATAATCCACTTAAAGCAGATTTGTTAATTGTGGTTTAGAATCATGGCTACTGTTTTAATTCACTTCTCAAGGTAATTAAATAACAAACTTGAGTTATCCTGATAACTTTCTGTTAGTTAAAGGGTCACTTTCTTAGTGTATGAATTGGAGATAAACACTTGGATAGAAAGAGATTAATTAAGTCTCTAACATCGATAACTATATATATAAATATATAAATTTTACTAAGACTTTTCTGTTCCATTTTAAGAACATTCACATAATAAAACGATTACATCATTTTTTTTCATTTCCTTTGACCTTGTTTCATCTCATTTCCTTTATCATCAATATTTGTATGAATATAAATGTCAAAGAACTTAATAATAGTTGTGTTTTGCGTTGTAATGAAGTTGGCTCAATTAACAGGACATTGTGTTTTATATATATAGTTTTTTTGGTGGGTCTACTTAGTCTACTATTCTAGAAACGTAACAGGTTTTGGATTACAAAAATAGCTTCGTACACCATTTCGTATCGTAAAACCATTCTAAAGCTTGTCATCTCATGTTGTTGATCATGACATTGAAATTATGGGAATGTGAAGTTTACATCACAAATGGCTTGTCATCCCATCTTCTGACTTTATCATACTTTCCCTCTCCCACATGGGAGTTGACTTCGTAAAGCGTTGAAAATATGAAACAATGTGATAATAATAATATACACATATAGTTATTGTTTTGTGTGGGTACGTTACGATAAGGTCAACCAGACATGCAAAAAGTTGATGAGTCGACATAAAAGAATGTTCTAAAAAGTGATTGGAAGTAGTGGGAACGGGATTGTTTAGAGTCATTTATAAATGGCAACCGTTTTTGTAAAGGAATTGACCAAGTCTTGTGGCATGTAAAAGCATAGAAAATGTCCATTAACTACACCGAATGAAGATGTAGGTAGACGAATCTTGCGTATGGGTTGCGTAGCATGCACTCACTCATTAATGGTTCAATAATCTTTCCACCGTACACAAACAATGTAGGGATATTATTTTTTTAAAAATGTATTAGAAGAGAAAAATTATGTAAAAATGAGCTACATGCGTTTGTTATATCTATATCATAATTATTAAAAATTAATAATAATTAATTTATGTTTTAGTATACTTACAAATTTTACATTATTTAGAAAAAAAATGAAAATGAGAAAGATAAAGTATGATATTTTGGTATGGTTTGCCTTGAGGTTGACCGGAGACGAATGGGGAGTTTGACACGCGCTATGTATCACTTTGCAACCACTTACTTGTAGGCGCATGCAAGTTGTTTTTTTAAAGTTAAACCAGTTTGCGCACCAAATTTGTGTGGTCATGAGGTGATCCTTCAGCAAATATATTTATAAAAGAGACGAATGTACATGCAACCAACACAAGTATCCAATCACAACCAATGTTTGTGATCATCTTAGTGCATGTAGTCTTGTACTATATTGCTTCTGTCTAATCTAAGCGTCACTCCTCTGCTTTATTTAATCTACAAACCAACAAGCTTGTCGTTTTTTCAATATGCTTCTCATTTTTCCCAAGTTCTTTAGTGAAAAAAATAAAAAAGAAACCTAGCATGTTGTCTTTAAAGATCTGAGTTCCGCGTTTCTTCTGGCAGGTCTTGAATTAAATTCTCAACTTAAATCTTTCACTAAAAACTTGTTCAATTATAATTCTGAGAAAAAGGTTATCGGTTTTAAGTGTGCCAAAACATAATTGTTTAATTGCATATTTATTATAATTTTGTTTTTGTGTTCATGTATGATGTGTTTAATGGATTAAGGAGTAAAATAGTGATGTAATCGGAAAATTAGTTTGAAAGAAATTCATATATCTATATATATATATATAGATTATTTTTAAGAGGATTATAATATATTTTTAAAATAAAATTTAAAAGAATTTTTTTTATCATGATTCCTATCAGTTTCCTAATTTCGTCTTCCAATAGCCAAATATATAAACACTTATATATAATTTTTTTTAGATAATAATACAAATTTACTATATTATTAACGAGAAAAGAAAAATAACCTCAATATAAAAAAGAATAATAAATATTAAAATAAATATAAGCATTGAAAAATAAATATTAGGAATAAGTTCTTATATAAATTTATATTACTTTATCTTTAGTTAAATTGATATAATCACATATAATTTTGTGATATTGTTATAATAAAATAATATATGAATAAATTATGAAACTTTATTTTCAAGTAATTATGAAAATGACTTACTTATAAAATATCTAAATTATATAATATTATATTAGTAAATTCAAGTATATTTTAGTAGCCTAGACATAAATTCATTCAAATAATAATAATAATAATATCACGTATTTAACTTAATTTATCTATGTTAATTTCTTTCATTGTGACATTACCATTATCTTTATATTAATATCAGAAATATGTTTTTTTTCTCATTTAAAATATATATTTTTTATCATAATTTTTGTTAAACTTTAAGCTTCAGGATTGAGTACAAAATTAATTGTTATTGTAATTTGTCAAATTGTAAATTACTCCCTTCATTTATTAATTCGCTGTTAACAATGCAATCATGTTCAAGAGAGTGATTATTTACTTTTGAACATGTAAAACGAGTTTTTCAAATTTATTTATGTGAAATCAGTGTATTAATTATGTTTTTTGAAGTTATAAGTAGGTGAGTTTATTTATTTGTGTTCCTTTTTAATGTATTTTCAAGCATATTTTTTGTTAGGTTGATATTGCTATTGAAGACATTGCACATACACAAATGCATCATACCCTGTTGAACATTTATCGAAGTTCTTCTTTAAGAATTTTATCATCCCTTGAGAAACAAGTTGGGATATTTACAAATTTTGCTTTCAAAAGATTTCAAGAAGAGTTTGAAAGGGTCATTCATAGAACAATAGTTTAAGGAACAACAAAAAAACATAAACTTAATGAATGGAGATATAGTTAGTTGTAGTTGCAAACATTTTTCTTTTTGAAGAATTCTTTATCGTCACGTCTTATCCGTATTCCTTCATGAAGATTGTTTTGATATTTCAACAAAATATTTGCTATTGCGATGGTGTCGTAATGAATAATGAATTTCAAAAAGTTGAAAATGTTGATGTTTACTGTAATATCATTAGAAGGATTCAACTAATGTAATGTTGACGTTGGTGCTGGATCGTCCAACCAACAAAAGGATGAGATGTGACAGAATTAATCAATCAAGTTATAATTGTAGCTTTTGTAAAAAGAAATATAGATTCGGACAATGTTTCATCGAAATTTTAAATTATAAGTATTATGTTGTTTTATTTAAATTTTTTCTGTTTTTATTTTGAGTAAGTAGGTTATAAAGAAAAATTAATGAAAAGAGAAAAATTAAGTGATTGAATTATATGAAAAAAACACTCACCCTTAATTTTTCTAAACTATAATTTTAATCCCTTTATTATTTTCTCACGGTTTATTGCGTCACACAATATGCAAGTCGAAGTCAGGAATCACTTTGCTTAACACTCCAAACAACACCCTCGTCCAAACTTCCACGATGCATATTCCCAACATATTCCATGTCATTTGCTACTCCTTTGCGTCCTCATATGAAATGAAAATCAATGATGATCGAAATTGAATCTAATAAAAACACACAGAAGGGTTGTGTTTGACTGGAATCCAATGAAATTCCTTTTCAAACTTTGTTTTTCCATCTAGTGTTGTGTCATAAGTCATGTAGTGTGGACGACCCTCTCCCTTCGTTTCCCTTTCCCCATGCGTAACGCTTTTGTTCATTGTTTTATAATCTTTTGGGGTAATTCATTTTCAATGTCATTCACAAGCACCCACATCATGACAAGTGGCGGAATTACAACACTTTCATCAAGTCACTGAACTTCACTTTGTATGCACGAAACCAATTGGAGGAAGAAAAATGGAAAAAGAAAATCATATTAGGGCATGCCTATTATCTTTCATAAGATGATGTAGGAAAAATAAGGTACATTTATTTTTCCAAGTAAAGACTGGTATCGGGATGCAAAAGTAGTGTTCCAATAATATTGTCCAGAAGAAATCCAGAAGAGATCCTACATAATGGATTCTGGTTCAGATCTTAAAAAAGATACCACTAGATTTTGGGATGACCTTCCCTAAAGTTTAAAGTATCCACATGCAGCAAATTTCTGATTAAAATGAAAAAACTAAATAAAAAAATAAAAACATTGTGTGGTGTGGCTAAGAGCAACAAGCATAATGAGATGGGTATCTTCTCTACTAGCCTCACTTCCCCACTTCTATTTTACTCTGTCCTGTGCCATTCCCTCAGCCAAAAATAATATTCATCTAAACCACAAAAGAAAAAAAAGAGACCACATTCCTCACTGTAGCCACATGCTCTAATTGATAACATTCTTTACCTATAGGAACAAAGATTAATTTATTTTTCACTCTCTGTAGTTTTAGTTATTTTAATTTACGTTTAGATATTATAATTTCATTTTTAGATTTTAGTTCCTATAATTATATCCTATTTGGTAAATCTTGCTTAATAATGTTGATTTCAATGATTACTTCTTGAATGATACATATAGTGACGTATTGTTGATGCTAGAGACTGAAATAAATATATAGAAACTAAAAAGATTAATCTTTTAGTGATAGAAGTAAAAATTAAGTATAAAAATATATTCTTCCGTGCATCTTTTACCGTTTTCAAATCTCATAATAATTCATGTATAATATAATATGTTTTTCTCAATCTCATTGTATCATGTTTGAAGTAAAATGAAAAATTTAAATACACTTATAAACAAGTAAATAACAAAAGAATAAATCACGAAAAAAATAGAAACCAAAATTACATATAAAAACTAATTTTGTAATTAAAATTTCGTCTCTAACCAAAGTAAAATTCACGTTCCAAATTTAAGTGAATCCAATTTGGTTCAAATACAATATATGTTTTAATCTAATTCCTAAGCAAATTTGGTTAAAATTCAATGGGTTTGTCTCTAATTAATTCCCAATCAACTAGCTTAAGTGAGTGGCATTGGATAAGCATCTACCAATTATATTTTTGTATAGATACCATTAATAACAACTTAACTAGACCACAAAAGAAGTAAATTGGGAAAAGTTGCCCTAAAGGGAATAATAAAACGGATAAGGATTAAAACACCCACAAAACAAAAAACTCTTCTTCGCTCTCTATCACCGTTTACGTCATTTGAAACTTCTTGCGACCACCGTTTTTGCTAATTATCCACTTCCCTCAAATTCCACGTAGGACCCAAAATAAAGAAAAAAAACAAACGAAAAATTACAAGTTTAGTGCAAGACCAAACAGCAAACACCCACTCCACTATATATACTCCCAACTGCACTCTCAAAGACACACTTTAAAATGGTTTCTACTTGGGTAAGGGGCAAGTGCATCGGTAAAGGCGCGTTTGCCACAGTCAGCGTCGCGCTTCGCAAACTTGACGCTCAAACGCAAATTTTCGCGGTTAAGTCCGTGGATATCAAAACGGGTCTCCCGGGTCAGCTCGAGGCGTTGGAGAACGAGATTCGGATCCTCCAGCTCATGTCCTCGCCGCACGTCGTAACCTTTCTCGGCGAAGACACCACGTGCGACAAGCGGAACCTTCACATGGAGTACATGCCAGGGGACACTATCGCTGACCTGGACGCCGACTTAGACGAGCATTTAGTGAGACAGTACACGTGGTGCTTGGTGAGCGCTCTGAAGCACGTGCACGCAAACGGCGTCGTTCACTGCGACGTGAAGGGGAAGAACGTCCTCGTCGGAGAAGGAGCCAACGGTTGCATCTGCAAGCTCGCCGACTTCGGCTCGGCAATGGAGTTCTCCGGCGAGGGGATACCGGCGGCTTCCCCGCGCGGGAGCCCACTGTGGATGGCGCCGGAGGTGATACGCCGGGAGTTTCAGGGTCCGGCGTCGGACGTTTGGTCGTTAGGATGCACGGTTATCGAGATGCTCACCGGAAAACCGCCGTGGGAGGGGAACTCCGTCGACGCGCTGAGTCGGATTGGATTCTCCTGCGAGGTGCCGGAGTTTCCTCAACGGTTATCGGAGCTCGGCCGGGATTTTCTGGAGAAGTGTTTGAGGAGTGAGCCGTGGCGGCGGTGGAGCTGCGATGAGCTGCTGCAGCATCCGTTTCTGTTACCGTATGGTGAGATCGTGGAATCATCGCCTCGGTGCGTTCTGGACCGAGTTGACTCGGAGTTCACTGAGTTCGAGGAGGAGGTGGAGGAGGAAGAAGAAGAAATAAAAACTGAAAGTGAAAATTGGGCGAGGGGTAGAATTGGAAAATTGGCTATGAGAGTAGTGATGAACTGGGAGACGCAAGGTTGGGTGGTGGTGAGGGAATTGGGTTTCGATGCGGAACCGGCGGTGGCGGTTGACAGTTGTGAGGACGTTAAAGAAGGGACGAGTTTGGAAAATTTGGAGCTTTGGAGGGTAGAATGGGGAATTGGGATGGGGACAAATTGGGAATGTTCAGGTTCGGAAGACGAAGGAATAAAATTGGCAACGTGGAATTTGGGTTGGAGGCGTGGGTTGGTGCAGTGCAAGCCGTGCAGCAAGTGTGAGTGTGGGTGGAAAAATGTGGATAAGAAAAAAGGAATAATATTGAAAATGAAGGTTTACAAGTTGTACCGTAAATTATTGAAATCACATTGTTTGATTTTGAAGTACTTAAATATATATTTATGTTTTGGAGTTATTTGTGTTGATTACTTACTTTTGATGGCATTGTGATAAAAAAGCATGTTGAGAGCGCATGCATGATGCAACGAAGCAAAACAAGGAAAGTATTGTTGAGATTTATTTGACAGTGAGATGGCATGGGTAGATTTGGCTGCATTATGTACCCCACTTGTTGGGGCATTCGGGCATGTGACGATGAAGTTGTGATTTTGCATTAGTGTGACACAACACACTTGCAGACGTGATGCTGATGCACTCATGTAGTAATGCTCTACTTCTACATAAACAGAAAACAATTTGAAAGGGAAAAACAAGTTCCTTATTTTAGCCATGAATTGGGATGACACATTCTTGCTTGTCCACACGTTATAAAAGAGATACTCAAACACACCACGAAAATATAAACGACAATACTCTCCCAACAAAATTTCAAAGCATCGTTAGCAATTTACGAATGTCAAAACGGATTAGGCCTGGGCCTACCAGGCCCAAGGCCCACCTCTTCGTCGACCTTCTTCCAAGGATCAAACAGCAAATACATTTTTAGAAAGGATCCTTCCATTCTTCCATTTCCATTTCCATTTCCATTTCCATTTCCACCTTCTCCTTGTGGTGTGTTCCTTTCTGTTCGTTCCACACACTCTCCTTCTTCTTCTCCCTCTCTCTCTTTCCCTCTCCTCACTGCTTCAGATCTCGCTGGGCAATACTAACACACCCTCTCTCACTTTCGAATTCCCTTGGATCCACGCCCGCCATGGCCGCGAACGCCCCCATCGCCATGCGCGAAGCCTTAACGGTCCTCCTTCCCCCACTCTCCCGTCGTTTTCCGCGCAATGCCTCGCCACATTGGCCATTCTCTCGTCGTTTTCTGACTCTCCGATACGCTCATCGTTTTTGCAGTTGGGAAGCGTCGGCATCAACCCGCAGTTCATCACCTTCACGCACGTTACCATGGAGTCGGACAAGTACATTTGCGTCAGGGAAACCGCGCCGCAGAACAGCGTCGTCATGATCGACATGAACATGCCCATGCAACCACTCCGACGCCCTATCACCGCCGATTCCGCTCTCATGAACCCTAACACCAGAATTCTCGCGCTTAAAGGTACCATTCGCTGCTTCGATTGTTTATGTGATAGTGCGACGATTCCAATTTGATCACCGAATGTGGCTTTTCTCCGTGCAGCTCAAGTTCCAGGCACTACCCAGGATCATTTGCAAGTGTTTAACATTGAATCGAAAGCGAAGATGAAATCGTATCAAATGAGCCAACAGGTGCGGATTAACGATTTTGATTCCCGCACAATGTGTCTGTTATTATTAATTAATTAGATAATTTGGTTGTGATTTGCTTTATTTTCCTCTATTTCCTTTAGGTTGTGTTTTGGAAGTGGATAACTCCAAAGACACTAGGCATAGTGACTCAGTCGTATGTGTATCACTGGTCAATTGAAGGTAATGTAACGATGTACTACTTTATTGCTTTCTGTCTAAGTTTGACTGCGGGTGATCGTGTGCTCTCTTTTTGTCTATTGATGGGCCTTTCTTTGAGTTGTCAGTTGATGTTTTTATGGTTTCCCTTATCTAGGTGAGGGTGAGCCAGTGAAGATGTTTGATCGAACAACTAATTTGGCGAATAATCAGATTATCAATTATCGTTGTGATTCTACTGAAAAGTGGTTGGTTTTGATTGGAATTGCCCCTGGTTCTACTGAGGTATGTGCTTCTTTTTCCTATTGCAACGTCTAGACTTTGCTCTTGTAGTTATTGGCAAATAGAAATTCCACTTGTCTTATCCTTGTGTTTGTGTGTCAGCTTGTTGTCACTAATAAGTTGCAAAATTTGTCAATTTAATATGATAGGCTGATTTTGACCATTTGAGGAAGACATTACAATAGATTCTAACATAGTCATTTAGTGCTATCGTTACAGTCGCCTGTGTAGAGATTTTGCAAATTACAATGTGGTAACGAGAAATACTAAAAAATGTATGTAAATTGCAAAATCCAATCCATTCATGACCCATTTAATAAATCGTCCAATCTATTTTATTTTAAATATATAAAAATTCATTTATATTTTTTCACCCATCAAAGAAAGTTGTTATTTATAAAGCTTTTGTCTTTATCTCTTCTGAAATTCTGTTCTTTGCCTCTTCTGAAATTCTGTTCTTTGCCACTCAATTTTCCTGTTAAGTAATTCTAAGCTTAGGTTGCTTAGTTTACTTCCCTTTTCTTTTTGGGAGAAATGGTACATGTTACAAAACTTTGATATTGAAATACAGTATGAATTGAGCGTGGCACACACAAAATGCAGGATGAATTGACGTGCCACACACTTAATGTGTATAGGATCCCAAGATTGTGTTCTTCGCTTGCGTGATTGTTTGACACTTAAAGGATCAAGAATATGAGTGTGTATAGAGACAAAATATACTTTTTGACCAACGGCTACATAAGCACATTGGTTTGTCACTCTTTGTTTGTGGACACTGGAGTGGCTCTAGTACCTTAACATACTGTAAATTTTGGCATTGTCTCCTTGCTCATTACAAATGAATTTTGGTAAATTTGAGAAATTTGTTCAAATATGTTAGATAAATTCTCTTATATATATATATATATATTTGTAAATGTAGATAAAAGATACTTTTTGATCAACAGCTGCATAGACAACAGTTACATGAACATATTTCAGTTATTTCTCTTTATTTGTACACTGCAATCGCCCTAGTACCGTGACATACTGTACATTCTGGCCTTGTTCCCGTGCTCATTATGAATTATTTTTGGTGGATTTGAGAAATATGTTCAAACATGTTAGAAAAATTATGATATATATAATGTATAGTGAGGAAGTCAATAAGGAACAAATTTGGGTCATTGGCAACATACATGGGAGGTACAAATTAAAAGTTTTTAAAGTCTCATTGCATAAATATTCATGTGACTATTTATAGAAATTACATGACTTTTGGGTTTTAATCTTGACCGTTCATGATAAGATTTAATGATTTTATTCACCCCATAAGAAAGGCTTTTTTAACTACATAGATGCGCACGTACACACACACACACATAACCTATTTTATGTGGGTGAGAGGAATACATACTAACCCTTAATCTTACATGAATGACATGGATTAAAAATTTAATGACGTGAGTTTTGTAAAAAGTCATGACTTATTTAAATTGTCACGTGACTTTAATTATGACCATTGCTGTATGGTTCATATGGCTCAAATGTAATCCTCTTTGTACATAAAAATGTCTCTCTCTAAATATTTGTCCATTATGTATGTGTGTCTAGATGTATGGAACATATATGTGAAAGGAGTAATAGTATCATAGGGTTAGAGGAAGAAATCTAGACTAGACAATCATAAATTTACATGGTTAAGATTAAATTGTTTGATATTTTTATGTAGTCATGTGATCATTGATTATGTTTGGGAAAAATTATTTGTAGGAATTCAGCTGTTTTGGGGATAAAAAGCAGTTTGCAATTTCAGTTGAATGTTTGGGATAATAGTTGAAGTTTGTTACACATATTTTTTTGTTTTCTGAAATATGTAAACTAGTTTTAAGAAACTTTTTATGAAAAATATATATATTTTTATTGTCAGCTTCATACATATATATTTTTTTCATGTAAAATCTGATTTTTTGTTGCATCAAAATGAATTTAATTATTTGAAACTACTTTTCGGCAAATTCACCCAAACTAAAACTGGTTGTGATTATAACAATAATTGATTATATATGTAACCCATCAATGAAATATATATATATATATATATATATATATATATATATATATATATATATATATATATATTTTTTTTTTTTTTTTTCGCAACTATCCCAAATGCTTCCTCAATAACTTGTAATCTTAACCATCTATTTATGATTCAGATTTACTTCTCTGGTATTGTTGTGAGAAATGAGGACTACAAGGGCTTGTTTGTTTACTGTTTTGTTAAATTTTTTTTGGAAATCTGTTATTGTTTTTAGTTTTTAAAAACTAAAAAATTAAAACTGATAAAAAGTGTTTTCTGTTTTCACTTGTGGGTATTAATGTTTTACCCAATAATTACATTAAATCACTCATTTTCATTACAATAAAACTATCAAGATCATTTTCCAACTTTTGTCATGACTTTCTATTTCATGTTTTTTTGTTTAAAATAGTTTTCAAAAATAGAGTTATCAATTTTTTTTTTCCAACTTATTTTCAAAAACAATTTTTCAAAATTGATTTCTAAAACTATTTTTAAAAACTAAAAAATAAAACTAAATCTTACAAGTCCTGAGTTTGGGCCTATACACATGAGATTATATGATGCATAATTATTACATAGAAGCAGCCAATCAAGAGACACAATATTAATACTTCTTGGTGTAAATAAAGAATGATTTAGTATGTAGTTTTACCGCTATATTGTGTTTTTTTTTCCTAGTTGTACTTTGTATTAAGATAATTAAATGTAAAGTTTAAATGATGAAAAACAAGTAAGACCTTGATTTTCTAATTATTCAATTTGTTAGTAGTTAAATATATGGGTTCAAGTCCATCTCTTTGTATCATGAAATCTATATGTACATGTTCATTTGTTATGCATAGTACATACAAAGATTTTATTTACATGACTTTTGACCATTTACTTTAACACGGTATTTGAAGCCGAAATCTAACTTGTGCCTTCCTAGCAGATCCATTGTTTATTACTGCCAAATTTTTTTCGAAAATTGTGTTTTATTTTGATTTTTGACCTTCCTCTTTGTTGTAGCTCTATTTCGATGATCTTTTTCATTAGTTTTGTTGCCACCGTCCATCGTCGTAGTTGCCGCCATTTTGATTGGTGACGCCTCCTTTATAGTCACCCTGACCAAGCAAACATAACAACCCCCTTCTCCTTGTCTTCAATGCATCTCTCTCCTCCCATCTCATTGGCTGATGTGCATGGTGATGTGTGTGGCCTCCTTTTCGACAACGACCATTGGCATCATACTTGCCTTGCCCTCTCTGCCCTTGTCTTTGTGATTGGAGCTTGATTCATATTTTTCCTATTTTTAGCTTTTATTTGCGATGTTTTCTCTCTTGACTATTTTCTCTCTCTCCTCCATGAAATGATGGCTTCTCATGATGTTGCTAAGTCAAACTCTTCCATCTTTACTAACTATGTCAACGTTCCCCTCTATATTGATAAGTTAGATGAAACTAATTATGACACTTGGGCTTAAATGTTAGGATTACGTCTATCATGTCACTGAGATGGTGGCATGCATTGATGAACCGGATTGTCCTCACTGGTCCAAAATTGATTATCAAATTTGTAGCATTATTAAGTCAATGATTTATCCTTCTCTCAAGCAAATATTTCGCTCCTATGAGACTTGTCTTGGAGTGTGGGAACAAATCCGCCTACCACAAATGACACTCAATGTCTCTATGGTGTTTGTCAAAATCCCTTTATTATCATTGGTCATAAAAGCCTTGATGGTTCCATGGTTGAGTATCTGGGCAAAGTTCATGGTCTTCTACATGATTTCAATGAATTGTTGACCCTTGCTTCCACGCCTACTTAAGAACTATAGTAATGCCAAATCTTCTTCATGTTGATGACTTTATATGGGCTTCTTGAAGAGTATTGATTTGTTCGTGATTAGATATATTGGGCTCCCTGAATGTACCCACCTTGACTTCTTCTTGGTACACCTTACTATGTGAGCCATGCAAGTTATTCTTAAAATATTTTCTTTTGTTGCCTTTGGTGACTCATCTTCTTTGGGATCTTATTGTGATGATTGCACTCCGTCCTACAAACTTGGCAAGGGTTGTCCCTGGAGTGATCATTGTTACAAACTAGGTCACATGATTAATCGATGTTATGCATTGCATGGTCGTTCTCCTTAATCTGTTGTTTTTGCCCAAGCTACTCCATCTTCACCCATTGGTATTGGTCTCACATCTTTTGAAACTTTTTGGATTGTCTAATATCTTCGATGAGTTTCTAAAATGGTATGAGGAACATCAGACCTCTAATTCCACTACCTCTTTTTTGGCCTTTGGGTGCTTAACTTGGTGCTACTTACCATATTTTTAATAATATATCTCTTTTCTCTTTCATTTTTCCTTTTGATATTTTATCATTTGTCACCATGTCCAATGGCTCTCAGGCTCTCATGATGATTGGTATTGTTCATATTATCCCTTCTTTTTCCATTGATAATGTTTTTTATGTCATTGAGTCTCTCTTGAATTTATTATCTCTTGGTAGTCTTACTCGTTCTCTTAATTGTGTCATATCTATTACTAAAGATTTTATTTTCTTATTGGACTAGAGTTTGAAACGAATGATTGACAGTGGATGTGAGTCTCATAGTTTTTACCATCTTTGGACCTTTGTTTATGCTGGCTTGGTGGTAGATTCCCCTTCTCCCATCCATGCTCAATTAGTTTATCCTAGTCTTGCCAAGTTGCAAAAACTTGTCATGTGTTTGTCAAAGTTGTCTACTTTGTCCTATGAGTTGTGTCAATTAGGCAAACATAGTCCTAGTTCTTTTCCTAAGAGTATTTCCATTTAAGCTTTGTCTCTGTTTGCTTTAGTTCTTTTATTGATGATTATTGTGGATGTACTTGATTATTCTTAATGAAAAATCTTTCTTAGTGGTATTCTATTTTCTAGTCCTTTTATACTCAAATTAAAAATTGATTTGGTGTTTCTAATCGGACTCTCTATAGTGATATTATTTGGGGAGTATCTCTCAGTCTTTTCATACTTTATGGCTTCCCATGATCTTCTTTATCGAATATGATGTGCATATACGTCTCAAGAAAATGAGAATGTCGAGCACAACAATAAACATTTTATTTAAACAACTAGAACCTTTTTACTTCATGGTCAAGTTCCTTGACAATTTCAAGTGATGTTGTCCTCACTTTGTGTTATCTCATTAATTGCATGCTATCCTTAGTGTTAGAAAACCAAATCCTACATTTTATTTTATTTCGTCATCAACCTCTCCATCCTTTACCCCCTCAAATCTTTGGGTCTACTACTTTGTTCATTTCTTTTGTCCTAGTCTTGATAAACTATCAGTTTCGTCTCACAAATATGCCATTTTAGGGATCTCAATCTCATATAGGGTTTAAGTGTTTCTCACCCTCCCTTCATTACTATTTGATCTTAGTTAATGTTACATTCCTTTGAGTCTTTCTACTTTGTGTTTAATCCTCTCCCTTTTTAGCCTTTCCTAGACCTTACCTCCACCACCCCACTTGTCTCTGATCGTACCATTGTGTCTAGTGCACCACCTAATCCAACACCTCCACCTCCACCTCCACCTCCTCTTCAAGTGTACCATTGTCGGCGTCGTCCATACCTTCTAGCAAGGATACCTACTAACTCTTGTTTGGTGTCCCCTCTTTTGTCCCCTTGGGCCTCATTACCTGGGTTCAATCTTTTTATTGCTCTTTGTAAAGGTATATGCTATACTGATAACCTTGCACCACAATATATTGTTATGACCTATGACCGGTTGTCTTTATTCCTTTATACTTGTTTCTCTTCTTTTCCCTCAATGCAATTCCTAAAACTTTAGGTGATACTTTAGCCCATCCTGGCTAAAGATAAGCCATGCTTGTTGAACTTTGTTTTCTTCAAGATAATGGAACTTGAGAGCTTGTTCCTTTACCCTATGAAAAAATTTGTTGCTGGTTGTAGGTGGATCTTTGCTATCAAAGTCAACCATAATGACAATGTTGATTGGCTCAAATTCCACTTGGTCGCTAAAGGTTATACTCGGATATTTGGGTTGGACTATGGTGACACTTTCTGTCTAGTTGTCAAGATGACTTTTGTTTGCTTATTCCTTGTCATGACTATCCTTTGTCATTGACTCCTTTATCAATTAGATGTGACAAATGCCTTCCTATATAGTGGTTTGTTGAAGAAAATTTACATGAAGCAACCTTTTGGTTTTGTTGCTTTGAGGGAGTCTTTTAGAATGGTATATCACCTCCACAAATCTTTATACGGTCTCAAGCAGCCTCCGAGGGCATGTTTTGGTAGATTTAGTGTAATGGCCTAGCAATTTGGCATGATTTGAACTGAAATGGATCATTTGGTGTTTTATTATCCTGCAAATAGTGGGTGTATCTACTTGTTAGTGTATGTTGATGCCATTGTTATCGCAGATAATGATAAGGTAAAACAACACTTTGCTATTATTTTCAGACAAAAGATCTGGCAAACTGAAATATTTCTTGGCAATTATTAGCATTTTGAAATATATTAAAGGTGCTCCAGAAAAAAAAAAAACTTGCTATTGTTACAACAATCACGCTTGAGTCGTGGGCTACTTTGATGCAGACAGACTCCTTCTGACAGGAGATCCATCTTTGGATATTGTATGTTAATTGGTGATAATTTGAACTCCTAGAAAAGCAAGAATTAAAATGTAGTGGCAAGATCTAGTGCAAAAACGTAATATAGAACTATGACCTCTATCACCCGTGGGTTATTTGATTCAAACAATTGATTAAAAAGATGATATTTGGAGATGCCACAAAAATGACTATCATTTGTGACAACATAGTATGCCACATATTGCCTCAAATCCATTATTTCATGAAATGATCAACCATATTGAGATAAGTTGTCACTTTTTTTTGTGATAAGATTGTATTTGAAGACATTGCCACCTAGTTTGTGAATTCCAATAATCAATTGACAGATGTTTTCACCAAATCATTATGGGGTCTTAGAATTTATTATTTTTGTAACAAGCTTGATGTTTATGATTATGTGCAGTAGTTTGAGGGGAAGTGTTAGAAGTAGCTAAATATATGAGCCCTAACCCATCTCGTACCATGATATCTATATATACATGTTTTTTTGTCATGCATAATACACAGTGATTTTATTCACATGATATCTATATATAGTAATGGTTGAAATTGTATTTTCCTGAACATTTAACATTTTTTTTTGTATTATTTTTACTTTTACTTAGTATGTTATGAACATTTTTCATTTTCCATTTTAGAAGGTTTTCCTCACTATGCGTTGTAAATACAATGGTTTATGACTTAGGTTTAGGGTTACTCTTGCTTTCCAATTTTTTCGTCAAATGTTATCCTCCTTCAACTTTTTCCATACCATATTGATAATATTATTTTTCACAGAAATTAATTTGTTTTGAACTTATATGATAATTAAATTTGTGCTGTTCTTTTTAGGGGAGTGGGGATGTTAAACTTACTGAATGTTCATTTTTTCATATTATTGATTGCAATTTGCAAATGATCAAATCTTCTCAAATTATTATCTGTTGGAATGTTAGTTTTTTGTTTTGTTGGTTACAGAGACCACAACTTGTAAAAGGAAATATGCAACTCTTCTCTGTGGATCAACAGCGGAGCCAGGCTCTTGAAGCACATGCTGCTTCATTTGCCACATTTAGAGTAATTCTGTCTTCGTGGTTAATTAATATGTATTTCAGCTGCATGGCTTGTAGGTTGGAAACTGTTTGATATTTTTATTTTGAAACATGTAGGTTGCTGGCAATGATAAAGACTCAACTCTTATTTGTTTTGCATCCAAGAGCATAAATGCTGGACAAGTTGCATCAAAGATGCATGTCATTGAACTTGGTGCCCAGCCAGGTATAAGCATGCATAGACTATTCTTTATCAGCCAAGTAGACACATTCCCACTCATTAGCATAAACAGTTTTTCTTTTAATCTTAAAAATAATTTTTTTTAATATCAATTTAAATTGTTAATGAAAGAGGAGATTATGGGATATAAAGTAATTAATGAGTTAAATAGGAGATAAACAGCAGAAGATGTATATGTTTTTGCCTCTTACTTATGCCTTGCTACCTTCTGGTATATATTTGGCATTGGTTATCAGGCAAGCCATCATTTTCAAAAAAACAAGCAGATCTCTTCTTCCCTCCTGACTTTGCTGATGACTTTCCCGTATCAATGCAGGTATAAGTGTAGAGTTTATGATCCTCTATTTCACAATAAACATTATGTTAAATATCTGAGTTGTTTTATTGTGCAGATTTCAAATAAGTATGGCTTGATATATGTTATCACAAAACTTGGGCTTTTATTTGTCTATGATCTAGAGACTGCCACTGCAGTTTATAGAAATCGAATCAGCCCTGATCCGATATTTTTGACAGCAGAAGCCTCATCTGTAGGGGGCTTTTATGCTATAAATAGACGTGGCCAGGTGTTGCTTGCTACTGTGAATGAAGCAACCATTGTACCTTTTGTTAGTGGCCAGGTATTTAATGTTTTATATCACATTTTTGGCCATGCGGACACAATTTTTGCTATCACTTCTAAATGTTTGCTTGGTTTTTTTGCAGTTAAATAATTTGGAACTTGCTGTTAGTCTTGCTAAAAGAGGGAACCTCCCTGGTGCAGAAGAACTGGTAACTTGAGCTGCATATGATAATTTTGTGCTTTTATCTGTAGTTTTAAAGTTCATGAACTCCATGTTTTTACTTTTAAATTGTCTGACGTTCTGTTGACAGATTAATACTTGAGTAGAAGGTTTATCCTTATATGCCTTGTTTTGTCTTAAAGCATTTCAGATGTGTCATCTAGAGCAATTATGAACAAGATAAAAAAGCATACGAGTGAGAAAATGATGAAACAATGTTTTTCTTTTCCTTAATTTTTTTTGTAGCATCTGCTTGTATATGTATATATATATATTTTGACAGAGAATACCAGAATGAACAGGTAACAGTTTTTAAGCTGTAAGTGCTTCAGGCCTGATGGGAATCTGGATGAAAGTATGTGCTGAGAAGTATAATGGTGTGAAATATGACATGGCAACCTTAATTTTTGTTCACTTTTGATTCAAAGATCAGTAACTGCAGTTATTTTGGCATAAAGTTTGCCCCAACCATAATTTTTTCTTCCTTCCTAATTGATTTGATCTGTGTGAGTGAAGCATGGGTTTTCTTTTCAAACTTAAGTTTTTTTATTTCAACCTATAGTTATTGTTATGCTTGTCTATTTTTTCCTAGGTTGTTAAGCGTTTTCAAGAATTATTTGCTCAGACCAAGTATAAGGAAGCTGCAGAGCTCGCTGCACAATCGCCACAAGGAGTACTCCGAACTCCTGATACTGTTGCTAAATTTCAGGTATTTTACGCATCACACATGCTGTTCCATTCATATTTCCTTGTCTTGTTAAGTTAATGAATTGAGGGTGTGTGTATTCACATTAATATGTCAATATGCTCTTTATCTAGAGTTCTTGAGTTGCCTTTGTTAATTTGGTTTCAGAGTGTACCTGTGCAAGCTGGGCAAACGCCACCACTATTGCAATACTTTGGAACTTTGTTAACCATGGGAAAACTCAATGCTTTTGAATCATTGGAACTGTCACGACTTGTTGTAAATCAGAACAAAAAGAATCTCTTGGAAAATTGGCTAGCAGAGGATAAACTTGAATGCAGTGAGGAGCTTGGTGACCTTGTGAAGGTCCTGACAGAAATTTAAGTTATCTCTTTTACATTTGGACTTATTTTATTGATAGTTTGGGGAAGGAAATCCAAATTGTCAATTCCTTTTAAAGGAACATATGATCTGTTCCATGATTTGTGTTTTGCACTTCTTTCCTTTGTTTTCCTAATTTTATGAGGCTTGCATATATGCAGACAGTGGATAATGACCTTGCATTGAAAATTTACATAAAAGCTAGAGCCACACCAAAAGTTGTTGCAGCTTTTGCAGAGAGGAGGGAATTTGACAAGATCCTGATATATTCTAAGCAGGTAATTTTTTTTATTAGTTTAGTAGAATCATAAAAATATTGGGGTTTTTATTAAATGTTATTGTGTCATTTGTTATTCTTTTACTACTATCTTTCTAATGCCATTCTTATCTGTTCCTTTGATGAAGGTTGGATACACACCTGATTATATGTTCCTTCTTCAAACAATTTTACGAACAGACCCCCAGGTTAGAAGGTTTTTTCTGATCAAACGATCTGATTCGATATTATCTCTGACTTGCTTGACCTTCATGATGCACTTATCTTTGTTCTGAATTCTAAGCATAGATTGCTTAAAATAGCATCACCTACTGAATGACAGCTAAATGCATCCAAATGGAAATGGTTTCCTCATGCTTATGATACTTTCATTTTAAGAATATTTGCATTTTGCTAATCTACACTGAAATAATCTAATTTGTTTATCTTTTTAGCATCCAGGTTTTTTTTTTGGGGGGTTATGTATCTATAAATATTTAAAACTTTTTTTATTGCAGGGAGCTGTAAATTTTGCTCTGATGATGTCTCAAATGGAAGGAGGATGCCCTATTGACTACAACACAATAACTGATCTATTTCTTCAGGTTTATTTGCAGTTTACCCATTGGAACTTCATGATACTTGGTTCATTTTATTCTCTTATCATTTATTGTTCAGTTGTAATTTTAGAAGACAGAATCATGTACAATCTTGTTTTCCTTTTATACTACTGCATTCCTTCTGTACTTTTATTGGGAATTTAAAATGGAAAATAATGATAATTATGTGAAAACAAATCTTTCTTAAAACTGGGTGGTCATGCTTTTTGATAACTTTCTTGCTTAGGCTAACAACATATTTTCGTGTAATTTCTACTAAAAATAATTTGTTTAAACTTTAACGTAGGAACCAAGGTTATGCTTTTGTGGTTATTTGTGAATTGGACCTCTTGTTTATTTTTTTTCTTCTGTTATTTTTTAGAGGAATTTGATCCGTGAGGCAACAGCCTTTTTATTGGATGTGCTGAAACCAAACCTTCCTGAACATGGATATCTTCAAACAAAGGTTCTTTAATTTTTTATGTGCCATTATCTCTGTTCCTGAACTCGATGGTGATATATATATATATATATATATATATATATATATATATATATATATATATATATATATATATATATTCTTAAAAATAAAATCACAATTTTCTATGTATTCTATAGGTTTTGGAAATTAATCTGGTAACCTTTCCAAATGTTGCTGATGCTATATTGGCCAACGGCATGTTCAGCCATTATGATCGCCCACGTATTGGACAATTATGTGAAAAGGCGGGCCTTTTCATTCGGGCTCTTCAGGTTCTTTGCTTCTAAAGTTTGCATGACAATATAATGTTCTCTTATTAGAATATATCTTGAACCTTGTCTGTGTATTGTGCAGCATTATTCTGAGTTGCCAGACATCAAACGTGTCATTGTGAATACACATGCCATTGAGCCACAGGTTTTGATAGCGACTGCTCAAATGACCCAATCTATCTTAAACTTGTTTGATATTCTTATTTCTTACTATATAATATGATGTATTTCAGGCTTTAGTTGAGTTCTTTGGTACCCTTTCTCGGGAATGGGCACTAGAGTGTATGAAAGATCTTCTACTTGTCAATCTTAGGGGCAATCTTCAAATTATTGTTCAGGTACTGTTTTTGGATAATATTGCTGTAAGACCCTTTTTTTTTTTTTTTAATTTCATAATTCATCTGTCAGATAAACTTACTTGTACGTGATTTGCAGACTGCTAAGGAGTATTCTGAGCAGCTGGGTGTTGATGCATGCATTAAACTATTTGAGCAGTTCAAATCGTATGAGGGACTATACTTTTTCTTGGGTTCATACTTGAGCTCCAGGTACTTCTTTCTTATTTATTGCAGATGGAACATGACTTCAATTCAATATTTGGCTAGTTTCACTGTTCTAATTTTTTTTTTCAATTATTGTGATTTTGTTTTTTTTTTTTTTTTATTTAAAGTGAGGATCCTGATATTCACTTCAAGTACATTGAAGCTGCTGCTAAAACTGGGCAAATTAAGGAGGTAGAGCGTGTAACTAGGGAATCAAACTTTTATAATGCTGAGAAGACAAAGAATTTTCTTATGGAGACCAAGCTTCCAGATGCACGACCATTGATTAATGTCTGTGATCGCTTTGGATTTGTTCCAGATCTAACCCATTATCTTTATACTAGCAACATGCTCCGATATATTGAAGGTTATGTTCAAAAGGTAACTTTGTTTTAAGGGTTTGAATTTGAATTTGGTGATCCTTTGTAGCATATGGGCATGCTTTAAATCTTTATTGGAAAATTTTAGCACTGTGACCTAAATTTGGCATTTCTTGCTTTTAGGTCAATCCTGGAAATGCTCCTCTAGTAGTAGGACAGTTGTTAGATGATGAATGCCCTGAAGATTTTATTAAAGGTCTTATACTTTCAGTTCGTTCTCTTTTGCCAGTGGAGCCTTTAGTTGAAGAATGTGAGAAGAGGTGTGCTTGTTTTTTTCTCTCTACTATTCATCTCCAGTATCAATGTCATGTTCATTTCTACTTTAAATTGTTATGCATAGGAATCGTCTGCGCTTGCTTACCCAATTCTTGGAGCATCTCGTAAGTGAAGGAAGCCAGGATGTGCATGTACATAATGCCCTGGGTAAAATCATTATTGACAGCAACAACAATCCAGAGCATTTTCTCACAACCAATCCATACTATGATTCTCGTGTTGTTGGTAAATATTGTGAAAAGCGGGATCCTACCCTTGCTGTTGTTGCTTACCGAAGGGGGCAATGTGATGATGAGCTTGTTAATGTTACTAATAAAAACTCCTTGTTCAAACTCCAAGCAAGGTACCTACTTTGAGCATTATCAAGAAGTTGTCATTGTCTTTCATAATGGTAGTTTGAGACACTCATGTTATTTTCTAATGTTTGAGGCAGATATGTTGTGGAAAGGATGGACTCTGACCTTTGGGAGAAAGTTCTTAATCCTGAGAATGAATTTAGAAGACAGTTGATTGATCAAGTGGTGTCTACTGCTTTGCCTGAAAGCAAGAGTCCAGAGCAAGTTTCAGCTGCGGTGAAATCTTTTATGACTGCTGATCTTCCTCATGAGTTGATTGAGCTTCTTGAAAAGATTGTTCTACAAAATTCTGCTTTTAGTGGAAATTTTAATCTGCAAAATTTGCTGATCCTCACTGCAATCAAGGCAGATCCTTCAAGAGTTATGGATTACATTAATAGGTTGGACAACTTTGATGGACCTGCAGTTGGGGAGGTGGCTGTGGAAGCACAACTATATGAAGAGGCATTTGCTATTTTCAAGAAATTTAATTTGAATGTTCAGGCTGTTAATGTACTGCTGGATAATCTCCAGAATATTGATCGTGCCGTGGAGTTTGCTTTCCGTGTTGAAGAAGATGCTGTTTGGAGCCAGGTGGCTAAAGCACAACTTAGAGAAGGCTTAGTGAGTGATGCAATCGAGTCATTTATTCGAGCAGATGATTCAACTCATTTCTTAGAGGTTATTAAGGCTGCTGAAGATGCAGATGTATACCATGACCTGGTAAAGTATCTTCTCATGGTTAGGCAGAACACCAAAGAGCCCAAGGTGGACAGTGAGCTCATCTATGCTTATGCTAAGATTGACCGGCTTGGAGAAATTGAAGAGTTTATACTGATGCCAAATGTTGCCAATTTACCAAATGTTGGAGACCGCTTGTATGATGAGACTTTGTATGAGGCTGCAAAAATCATATTTGCTTTTATTTCTAACTGGGCTAAGTTGGCAGTCACATTGGTGAAGCTTAAACAGTTCCAAGGTGCTGTTGATGCTGCCAGGAAAGCAAACAGTTCAAAAACATGGAAGGAAGTTTGTTTTGCCTGTGTTGATGCTGAGGAATTCCGCCTAGCTCAGATTTGTGGTCTCAATGTCATCATTCAGGTGACACCATTTTCTAGTTTATATTTTAACATTTGGAATTTCTACTTGCATGGAATGATTGTCCCCTACTAAAAACAAGTAACAGAAGAACAATTGATTTCGTTGTCTAACCTTTTGCTGCTGTCTGGGTAACTAACTATCTTATATTTATTGAAGGTGGATGATTTGGAGGAGGTTAGCGAGTTTTATCAGAACAGAGGATGCTTCAATGAACTCATATCTCTAATGGAAAGCGGGTTAGGTTTGGAGCGTGCACATATGGGTATATTTACAGAGTTGGGAGTTCTATATGCAAGATATCGTCCCGAGAAACTGATGGAACACATTAAGTTGTTCTCAACTCGGCTTAACATTCCAAAGCTTATTCGGGCATGTGATGAACAACAGCATTGGAAAGAACTTACATACCTATACATCCAATATGATGAGTTTGATAATGCTGCAACGACTGTCATGAATCACTCTCCAGAATCATGGGACCACATGCAATTCAAAGATGTTATAGTTAAAGTTGCAAGTGTAGAACTCTACTATAAGGCTGTTCACTTCTACCTACAAGAACATCCAGATATAATAAATGATATGTTAAATGTGATTGCACTTCGTGTGGACCATACTCGTGTGGTAGATATAATGCGGAAGGTTTGCAATTTTTATACCCTATTTACAGTTTCAATCTCATTTGGTGAGATAACTTACTGGTTTCAAATGCCATTTTGTGATAATATTGCTTGTTGCTTGGATTTTTTATTTTTAGGCTGGCCACCTCAGATTGGTTAAGCCGTACATGGTTGCAGTTCAAAGCAACAATGTATCTGCTGTCAATGAAGCTCTGAATGAAATTTATGTTGAGGAAGAGGACTATGACAGACTTCGAGAATCAATAGATCTGCATGACAACTTCGATCAGATAGGTCTTGCACAGAGGGTAAATCTCGCTTATCTTTTGTCTTATTTTGACAATTAGCAAAAAATTAAGATCAGAATGTTACCTGGAAATTTGAAATTTTAGAACTATTATTGATTGTGATCAACAATGAGCATGTGCAGATTGAGAAGCATGAACTTCTTGAGATGAGGCGTGTTGCTGCGTACATTTACAAGAAAGCTGGAAGATGGAAGCAATCCATTGCTTTGTCAAAGAAAGACAATCTTTACAAGGACTGTATGGAAACATGCTCGCAATCTGGTGATCGAGAACTCTCAGAAGATTTGCTTATCTACTTTATTGAGCAGGTGTTTATTTTCTTGTCCTGTTCCTTAAAATATCCAACTCTAGTATTGTAAGATTAGATACAAACTATGCCCCTATTGGCATAGTGCAGTTTGACCCCCTGCTTCAGTTAGAAATAATCTTGTCGCTCCCCTTTTTCACTTCTCGCATCAGTTCTTTTCTCTTAATTAACAAAGGGAATATATTGATACGCAGGGAAAGAAAGAGTGTTTTGCGTCATGTCTCTTTGTCTGTTATGATATTATCCGGCCAGATGTTGCTCTCGAGCTAGCTTGGATGAACAACATGATTGATTTTGCATTCCCATATCTCTTACAGGTATGCTTTTGTTTGTGGCTCTGGTATAATTATATTCATCAACAGATCAAGTTAACTATTTTAAAATTTCTTTTTGTTTGAAGTTTATTCGAGAGTACACAAGCAAGGTGGATGAGCTTATCAAGGACAAACTGGATGCACAAAATGAGGAGAAAGCCAAGGAAAAGGAGGAGAAGGATGTGATTGCTCAGCAGGTAACCTTTTCTCAAACTTTCCTTTACAGACAATCATATTGTCTTTTGATTATTAAATTAACAGTGTTTTCAATGATCTCCAGAATATGTATGCCCAGTTGCTACCGCTTGCTTTGCCGGCACCTCCAATGCCAGGAATGAGTGGAGGTTATACCGCTTCCACGCCTCCAATAATGGGTGGAGGCTATACCCCTTCCCCATCTCCACCACCTATGGGTGGAATGGGAATGCCACCAATGCCTCCTTTTGGTATGCCTCCAATGGGGGGCGGCTACTGATCTCCAGATCCACGACAGAGGAGAGAATTTTGGGAATTTTTTCACTGGTGAAGCTAGATAGTTTAGAATATATCATTTTTTCATTCAAGGTGACTACTTGCTTAGGGTTAAAGAAGTTCACGTGGTGGCACCAAGCATCATCTTTTCAAGCCTAGCCTGATACTACTTTCCAATTATTGCGGCTTTCTTTAATGAAAATTTTCTGAGCTGCCTATTTCCTTTCAGATTGTTTGATCATTCTCGTGAGAGCAGCATGGCCAAATGGTCTTGATTGTATCTTTTTGAGGCATTGGCTTGGTTGCGACCTGTATAGTTCATTGCTTTCATAGTCATAAATGTATTCATGATTAGGACTTAAAATTATTGTTCTTAGTATATAGTCTTTCATAATATTTAAAATGATCTCTAACTGTCTGTTAATTTCATTCTTTCAAAGATATTGCCCATAATTTTATTATTATACATTCCTAAGTGTTGAATCTTTTATATTAATCCATTTTACTTTCAGCACTTTAATCTGAAGTTTTGTCATTATTTACGACGAACCCTTCAGATATACTTTGAGAAGCAGTGTTCGACATAATACGAAAAGCTGCCTATTATGTGACAACAGTGGCCAATTGGCCGTATCCTAAGTTTTTTAAGGCGACGTGTGAATGCAGAAAAAAATAGGAAGAGGGAGAAAAGGAAGAGTAGAAGAGAAATATAAAAGAATACTTTTTGGATGGAAAATAAAAAAAGAAAGAAATTAGGTATTTTGTACATATGCGTAGGTAATCAAGACGGTTCCAAAAAAGGAAACAAATTGTATGCTGTAGAAAAAGACCCTTGTATTGAAACAGCAAATCCATTAAGATAACCAATAACTGATTTTCATACTGTAAACCTCACTTCTTACTACAAATTGCAGATAATCAACTTAATATTTAAGATATGCTGAGATTAAGAACATAAACCGCTAATATAATTACTCAATTGATTACAACGATCTCCCAAAGGCTAACAGTAGTGTTTAAGCTTATACTCGTACAAAGAACACATCCTACAATATTGCTCTGAACCCATCAGTGTTCCTGTTTAAAATGTGTCTGAATGACAAAACTAGATATAATATATATAAAATAAAAAAGTCAAATTTATGCCGAATACCTCAGAATACGCAAAGTTAAAATTCACAATTAGTGAAAGTAGTAAAAAATTTGATTAAAACCTTAAATTGCAATAAGTTATACTACTAAATAATAATATTTTTCAGTGGTTCATTAAAGTTGTTATAATTTGTTATTTTTTTAATTTCTGTATAACATAATACTACACATATTAATCATTTTTTGATATCACTCAAGTTTATCATGTACGATGATAGGTATCATCTTTGTATAAATGGTCAAAATCTTTACTCTATTTAATATATAAAAAAAGAAAAGAATAAATGAAACATTCATTTTGAGTAGTTACTTAAAAGAACTGATAATGTAATTAAAACTTGAAATAATCATTTGTAAGGAAGGTTATGATATAATAATGATTATCACTAATTGAAAATAATCTAAGCACTTGTCACTATAATAAATTTAGATACTTCATTAAATAAAAGGTTACTGTTAAGGTTCCAACATAAAACCAATTGGTAATATGTGGAGTAGCCTAACATGTATTTAAATCATACCAAATGATATGAGGTAGGCGATGTGGGACTTTCAACACACCCCCTCCAACGAAGCCCGCCGGACCAGGCAAAGGGTACTTTTGACCCAACTAAAGGGCAACTTTTGGCCCATGACAATAACCGGAAAGATGTTAGGCTTTGGCTCTGATACCATGTTAAGGTTCCAACATAAAACCAATTGGCAATATGTGGAGTAGCCTAACATGTATTTAAACCATACCAAATGATATGAGGTAGGTGATGTGAGACTTTCAACAATTACAATTACACTATTCTTGTCATTATTATTTATTTGTTGTTAGTACAATTATAATTCCTTTATATATTATCTTATATCTTATTTTCTTTCCTATGAAAAATGCTCCTCCAATAGGAATTTTTGTTATTTTGTATCTTCCTTAATTGAACCTAAAACATATACCTAAGCTTATAAAATGAACTGTTGGGTACGAGTCATGAATTTTGAGATTATAACTTTCAAACAAAATCACACTTATAGAGATAATTGATCTTCCTCTTAGTAAAGATCTTGTTGATCGTAAATGAATTTATAAGATCAAATTCTACGTTGATGGTAGCATAGAAAGACATAAAGCTCAATAAGTTACTAAGGGTTATACACAATTTGATGAAGTAGATTATTTTTGATACATTATTTGTTGTTGAAAAACTCACAACAGTGAGAGTCATTGTTTCATCTAATATTTTAATTTTGAAAAACTCCCCGACAACGGCGCCAAATTTGATCGATGTCGTACTCGGTCAAATAATTAAAACAGATAAATGTAGTACTAGGAAGCTTTCCTAGGTCGTCTCCCAAAGACCACAAATTTCTATCAAAGCTTATCAATTTTTAAATTTAGAACAGTAACAAAAAAGGAAGTTTTTCAAAATTAAAATATTAGATGAAACACAACAAAAGCATATTATAAAAATGCGGATTAAAAACAGATTAAAATGCAATTGATTTTCGGATTCTAATGCAGTGTCACTTATCCTAGATTACGAAATTAATTCGAAATTAACCAACTAAGCGAAGATAAATCCCAAATTATATTCTAATCCAAAATTAATCAACTAAGCGAAGATTAATCTCAAATTAGCTTTAACCCTTGTTCTAATATGAAATTAACCAACTAAGCGAAGATTAATCCCAAATTTTCCTTAACCCTTATTCCAACATGAAATTAACCAACTAAGCGAACATTAACCCCAAATTATCCTTATACAATTAAGCATTGCATACATCACATAATCTCATATCTAACACAGAATTAAGCAAACTGTGATATAAGTTTCGGTTTATTAAGCATAAACAGATTATAATGCAATACTGAGATTAGAAGATGAAGAGTTAAGAGAATAAACAAAATAAAATTGAAGAACAAAACCTCAAAGATCTACTTGAATTCTTCTCAGAAAATCAATACAAAGATTTAGTTATCCATGAAAAGTTCAAAACACAATAGAAGAAACATAATTAAAATGGAAACAAGAATTTAAAAATAATGACAGAAGAGTAAACAAACTTGAATATAAATTGCAGAAGATGAAAGGCGGTTGTATGGTGGCTGCGAAGTCCTTGTGTGTTGTCTATCTCCCGATGTGTGATGTGCCTCTCTTATATAAATAACCCTAACCCTAATCTTTATTGAAGTTTGGGCTCAACTGGTCCATGAAACACATCATAAGTTGACTTTAGTGCAGGTCCGTGAACTTCAAACACGTACAGTATTTTCAATACTTATCGAAATTAAGCGATTTCGGTATCCTTTGAAAGCCTTTTGAGTTAGCTTTAAAACGCCACCATTGCTACTATTTTTGGAGGTCTAATGAATTTAGGAGACTTAAATTACTGAAGCATGTCCATTGGGCCGGCCTAGTGCGCTTGATCCGTGTTGGATAATTTATGCAAAATCCAATTTATCTCCGAATTGAATGATTTTAGATTCTATGTAAAGCTGAATGTGTCTAGTTTATAATGTTTTGAAAATAATGATTTTTGGAGATCTGTAGAAAAAATGACAAATAAAACAGTGAACCAATATTAGTACCCATATAGAATAAAATATGACATTTGACCTAATTTTTCAAGCCCAAAATTGCTTTAAACTGTAAAATCGCATCTAGCCCAATCTTCTAGGCCCAAAATTGCTTTAACTGTCCTAAAATTAATAATGAGAAAAAATTAGATCAAATAGATTTAAATTAATTAAAATCTAATTATTGGCCTAAATAAGCCCAATTAATAAAAATTCACTAATAATAGAAAGTTAAGCCCAAAACACTAATTAAAATATGTTCAGAAAGGGAAGAAAATACGGGAATATAATGACTCATCAGTCATCTTGTCTTAACTTTTGCCAAAAATTGATTTCTTGCCAAAAAATGTTTTCTTAAATAATTAGATGTTAATAATGTTTTTTTACATAACAAGTTACAGGAAAAAGTTTATATGAATTTGTCCCTTGGTATGACATCATTTCATCTAAATATCATCTTTAACCTGAAAAAAATCATTGTATGAGTTGAAACAAGCAAGTAGACAGTGGTATGTCAAGCTCACTAGAACCTTATTGGTCTTTAAATTCACCCGTCATTCACTCTTCACAAAGTATACAGAGGTGTCTTTCACTGCACTACTAATATATGCTGATGACATAGTTCTTGTAAACAATCATTCTAATGAAATTGAGTCTGTCGAGGCACACTTGGACCACAAATTCAACATTAAAAAACTTGGTCATTTTTGCTATTTTTCAGGCCTTGAAATTTCGTGTTCCTTTTCTAGAGTTGTGGTTAAATAGAAAAAATATGTTTTTAAAGTTGTTGAAAGATCATAGCATGCTTAGTGGCACACCTGCATCCACTCCTATGAAGCCTTCAACTATATTAGATAATTCTTAGGGCACTCCATTATCTAATTCTCAGGCTTATGACAGATTTGTCGTTAAGTTGATGTACCTTATAACCACTGGATCAGACCTAGCTTTTTTCACTCAATAGTTGAGTTAATATGTCTCTCAATCCATGGATTCTCATCATTGTGCTACCATGATGGTCCTTCGCTATATCAAAGGTTTTCTTATTAAAAGTCTTCGTTTTGCGGCAAGTTCATCTTTGATTTCTTTTGATTTTGTTGGGAGTGTTGTGTGAAAACTCAAAAGTCTATTATTGACTATTGTATCTTTCTTGGATCTTCCCTAATTTCTTGGAAAACTAAGAAGCAAACAACAATATCTCACTCTTCATTTGAAGCTAAATATAGAGTTTTTGCAACTCTCAATTGTGAGTTGTAGTGGTTTCACTACTTATTGATTGATTTACAAGTCCTCTTGTTGTCCACTTTTAATGTTTTGCGATAATTAATTTGTAATATACTTGGTTCACAATCCAACATTTTATGAGTGCATAAAGTATATAAAGATTGGTCGTTCACTACTACAAGATATACTTTCTACGTCGTCATTTAACGTCAATTATAGCTGAGACGACGTAGAAAGTACTTTCCACGTCGGTTCCCAGATGAACCGACATTGAAAGTTGAATATTAAACACATTCTACGTCGGTTTTTAGTTAATCGACGTAGAAAGTACTTTCCACGTCGGTTCCCATATGAACCGACGTTGAAATTCTTTTTATTTTTTTTCACTTATTGACACTTTCCACGTCGGTTCCCATATGAACCGACGTGGAAAGTCTTTTTTTTTTTTTTTTCATCCAAAAATTCACTTAAATTTGAAAATTGTCACCGACAGGATTCGAACTCGAGGATTTTAAAATTGAAAACTAATACTCTAACCACTAAATTATTATAATTTTCTAATAATAATTTACAAATAAATTATATTTATATACAAATAAATATATATCCATGTAAATATATATTTATTTGTATATATTTTCTGGAAAGTATTTTTATTTTTTTTTCAGCCAAAAATTCACTTAAGTTAATGAATTGTCACTGACAAGCATTTGAACCCAGTATTTTAGAGTTGAAAGTTAATATCTCAACTACTAAACTACTATAATTTTTTGATAATAACTTACAAATAAATTATATTGGTATTTTTCGATTAAGGGTGAAAGTGGGATTGACTCTCGCTTGAGTGAAAATATGTTAAAGCTCACGGAAATTCACTCACTCAAGCCTCGCTTGAGCGAAAATTGGTATTTTTCGCTTGAGAGCGAATGACGCATTTCCCAAATTTATTTTATATCATTATATAAATAAAATTATAAAGATTATATTCCGTCATTAAATTACAAACTCATATAAAGATACTTGCTCACAAATTTAGCATCAAATTTTGTAAACCCACTCTACACACACTTTCACTTTCGAGTGTGCCCTCACATCCAACATATAAATATATCAAAATATATAAATATATTTGTATTTATATATTTACACGGATATATATTTATTTGTATATAAATATAATTTATTTGTAAGTTATTATCGGAAAATTCTAGTAGTTTAGTGGTTGGAGTATCGCCTTCAACTCTAAGGTAATGAGTTTGAATCCTACCAAGGACAATTCTCTTAAAAATTTAATAAATTTCTAAAAAATATAATATAAAGAGAGGGGATACTTCTAGATAAATAAAAGGGGTAAAGATGTTGTAAATAAATAAAAATTATTAATTTAAAATATTATACTTTCAACGTCGGTTTATTAGAACCGACGGTGAAAGTCGTATAATACTTGAGATAATTCAAAGTGGTTTTTTTCGTTTGCTACCTGTTCCTTCTTATGCCTAAGTAGCTCATATGTTCCTAAATAGCTTGAATCTATTCCCACCTTCACATGCTTGCTGAATTAGAGGTGATTTAGTTAGCGTCTAGTTATTGACTTTCTAGATAAGATGATTTGGCTTGGAGCTAAGGTAAAATGGAATAATAAGAACAATTATCTTTTAAAACTTGAAGAGAGAAGAAACTGACATGATATAGTTAAAACCTGAAATAATCCTTCAGAACCTCAAGTAAAAATGAGAAGTTCTATTAAGGATAATTTATCTACCTAAGAAAAGTGTACTAATCATCTTAAAATACACAATTAACCGTACCAATTATTTTTTGTAGTTGTTTTACTCCATTTTTATTGAGGAAGATTTTTGTATTGAAAATTATGGAATTAAACTAGGAGGGGTCAGATATGCTCAGGTTATACTCCGAGAGCCTCATCAGATTACTGAGATCACAATTGGTCATCTCAAAGTGAAAAGTGCACCAACAAATTGAATCAAACAGGGATCATGACACTAATTTATGCTTGAACAACCGAACAAGCAGTTATCTCCTGAAAGCCTAAAAAGCTAAATTCCGTGACTAAAGGTTGTTCAATATATATAACACCTCGTGGCCTAACAAAAGCAAAAACATGTCACCATATTTTGGTTTACTGGTATGACATGCCATGCACTCAAACAGCGTCACAGAAGGCATCCATATATAATATCCATCCATTTGTTTACACGTCATATAGGTGACCACAATGCATGCAAGCAAAATATTGTGAATGAGGTGGCTACACACATCTGGGTTATTTATGCTTGGTCCTGCAATCTTTTGAAAGTGACACTGTTGGGTTTGTTCTCCAAGAAGACGTACAAGGAAGAATTGCCTATTGACCACAACAAGGCTGAAGGACGTTAATTACAGGTTGATTTTATTTTCAATCCAAAATTTTACATTATTAGATTATTGGATCTTATTTATTTCAATTGTTGAATTTTCTCATTTAACGTAGATTCGAATTCACTTGCTTTACAACAAAAACATCTCCAACATTGTGATCCTTAGGATAATATGTTTGACATTCTCAAGCTGAATTTTAAATTTTTAGGATAATTAGAAGTTAATTTCATCAAAATTTCATATTTATTACTAATATATATGTTCTGTGTATCGAGTGACGGATCTTGACGATTGATTTTGGGACCAAATAATATATTATTAATAAATAAGAAATAAATATAAAAAGGTGAAAGAAAATGAAAAAGTAAACGGATAAAATTGGAAATGTATAAATAAATATATTAAATGATTATTAAGTTTCAGAGAACAAAATCATAAATTATACAAGAGTTAGAAGTGATAAGAGAATAAAATTGTAAATATATAAGTAAATATATTAAATAATTATTAAATTTAGGAGACAAATATCATAAATTATTGGGGGAGTTCTAAAACTCATGGCCTCTCAGCTCAATCCGCCACCACTGGGGTGTATGTATATGGTTGACAGATTATGAACGTTTTGTTTGTTTATATATATCAGGTCATCAAATATATACACCAGTCCTTGTACAGATCAAAGTCAGTACCCACACCAGCCCCTAATATCTTTATCATAGTTTGAAATAATCAAGACAATGGTTTGCTAAACTTTCTTCTTCTTTACTAACACATGGATTTACGCAATCTTCTTCTTATCTCTACTTGTTATTTTAAAATCATAACTATTCATTTACTGCATTACTGGTTTACGTGGGCGATTTGATTCTTGCAGGAAACAACCTTCTGGAAATCCATGGTACCAAGCATTTTCTTAACCAACAATTATGAATTCGTAACCTTGGAAATCTGAAATGCTTTCTCGGATTTGAAATTGCGTGGTCTCCTAACTGTCAAACCTTCCAAAACTACTATGATCATAGATACCAAGCTTCACAACACCAAATCAATTCATCATTTCTCCAACCGTGGTTTGGGTCTATTAAGATCTCATAACAGTAAGTGACATAATTATAATAATTCTTTATATGTAGCTATATTAGTTATAGTATAGCAATATTTCTCTTAAACAATTTTCACAGTACAAATAAAATGTTTAATTTTATCTCACAAATATTTATTATGTTACAAGGTTATTAACTTGTTACCCATGATTGTCAACATGCATAAATATATATTCAACTTATCTAAGACTGAGAAATAACTGTAATATATATATATATACATAGTATATATATATATATATATATATATATATATATATATATAATGCTTCAAATTCATACACTTTAAAAAGACTAAGAAAAACATATTTTTAAAGATGATTTGTTTATAAAGTAATAATTGACATTTAAAAAAAAATCAAAACTATAAATAAAGAAGGATGTTAGAATAATTGATTACTAAAATCCTCCTTTTCCATAATAATTTCATAAACACTCAAACTTAAGAAATTATTATAAAAAAGAATAAAAAGTCAACCACCAGGGCAAATCATATTCAATAAGAGAAATATTATTTTAGTATTAAAAATGGATCATAAAACTTATCACTCTCGACTTTAAATTGTTTTGGAGTAATAATTTATATTTGGATATCTAATAACTTTAAACACTATATATTAACGCCCATAATTTCTTCTTTTTGCAACAAATTCCAATTATATTTACATCTCTCTTTCTTTGTCTCTAAATACAAGAGTTGAGTCCACAATTTTTTAGCTTTTAAAAATTGCACGGAAGAAAAAAAGATATACAAAATAAAATTAATAATTATTTTTGCAAAGACTACAGGTATACTATATATGCTCAGTAACAAGTCTAAGACTCTAAGTTAATTGGAACAAACTATTTTAAAAAATAAAATTAACAATAGCAATTATTATACACGAAAATATAAACATAAATGTGAAATAGTTAAATTAGAAAACATTAAATATGAAAAGAAAATTCAAACAATCAGTTCAAATAAATAATTATATATTTTGATTTATAAAAATGAGGGATGCATTTATCCACATGAAATGTAAGTTCATTATTGATAATGTTGATTAAAGTAAACAATTTCATGATAGTTAACACACCGTTCATGGATAAAAATAATTATATACTATTTACTTTTTGATGATCAAAGAATGGCTGAGAATAAGAATCAGAATCAGAAAATTACTATTCTTTCTGAGAGAATCAGTTACTAACTACTTACTTGTTTTATAGCGACCTGAAAAAGAAACAATAAATATATACATGAAAACAGAAAGCACAAACAATGATTCAATTCATTCAGTTTCAGATTCATTCATTCACTGAGTAACAACGTGTAAATGTTATATGATGCACACAGACATAGCCAAAAAAGTGGCACACAAAAAAAAGCACGAGAAAGCGAGAGGTATAAAGGGTCCAAGAGCAACACACGCGCATATTCTCTCTCTCTTTTTCCAATTCCCAAATCCTCTTTATCCATATCACACCAAACCCAACACAATAAACACCCACCCCTTTTCTTCTTCCTTCTATCCATTAATCCATTCACATCCACACACACAACACAGCAACAATTTTCAAGCATACACTTTTTTTTGCTTGTGCAGAATCATCAGAGGAGAATTCGTGCAGAGAGATGGGAACGGGGGCATCGAAGGACGAGGAGGAAGGGAGCAAGGAAGAGAGTGACAGGCTCGACCAAGCGGGTGGCCAACTCTACGTGTCTCTGAAGATGGAGAATCGCAAGCTCACTGGGGACCTTGTTCCTCACGTTTATGGCTCTCTGCCTCTCGTCGGCTCCTGGGATCCTTCCAAAGCTGTAATTTTTGTCCCTTCCCTTTTCTTCATTCCCCTCATTTTCCTCTGGGTATGTCTTCTTTTTCCTTGTTTCTCATTCCGTTTCGCTTTTCGTGCTAGCTTTTCATGGAACGGGAATCGGTATCAATGTGGGAACTTAGCTTTGTTGTCCCTCCTAATCACGGTAATACTTTTACTTTGTCTTTTGTTTCTGTTTCCCAGTTTTTTTTTTTTTTTTTTAGTTTAGTGATCTTTCAGTAAAAACAATTTTGTACTATCAGCCAATCACGAATTATGCTGTGAAATACTTTTAAGTAGATTTTGTAAATTTGATAAATTTATTATACACCACGGATTTCTGATTGATGACTTTTTATATAGACCTTTTTTCTCTTTTTCCTCCCATTCAAATGTTGCAAAATCTAATGAGCTATGCACTGTCATTTTAAAAAAGTTTTACACTGTTAATCAATCAGAAACAATCTAGGTAAGGCGGCTTTCAAATTTCAAATAGTGACTGTAAAAGTCAACAAATTTAGCATGTAGTCAGATTCTAATTGTATGACAGTGTAAAGTATATATTTTCGAGTTTTTCATATATCTAATTGACTTAACAAAGTTTACTGAGTAAAACAACGGATAATGTCTTAAGATTATGGGGGGGGGGAAGGGAAGAAATGTTTGGCTCTTAGCAATGGCTTTGTTTCCATCACCATGAGGAGGGAGTCTGGTACTAAGGTGTCTGGGGATATTGTGAAATGAATGGAGTTTGGTTATGGAAAGTGTGTTGCGCGTAGTTGTCATTAGTGAACCTAAACTGGTGTTTACCTTTTTGAATTATGTGCCAGTTCAGAGTTTAGCTTTGTTGTTCCACGTAATCAGCAAAATGCTTATTTCCTTTTCTTGCTTTGAGTTATATATGTGGTTCGAAGTTTTTTTTTCCATTCAGAAGTTATAATTTTTAATAATTTGTCTCTTGCTTTATCTTGTTTCATTGACTTATCTGTGTGCATGGATCTGGAAAGGGGGGAAGCTGCTGGAAAGTGGTAGGAGAAAGGGACAAGTTAGAGTGTGAGGGACTAAAAATATTAAGTTTACTTAGGACCTATTTGGACGAGTTCATTAATAAGCACTTCTAGAAGGGAAAAGTAAGACGAGAAATCGAAATTATCTTCTCCACAAGTAAAATTAGCTTATGCATATTTTTAGAAACAACAAAGACTAATGTGCAAAAAATTAATATAAAAGGACTATTAAAAAAATAAAGATTAAAAGGAGTACAACCAAAAACTGTGTATTTGATACGGACTCAAATTTAAAAATATAATTAGCCATTTGTCTCTTTCTTTTCCTTATCTCATTGACTTGACAAAAGTATGCTTAATAAAATAGTATATAATGTCTTAATGTTCGGAGGTTATGGGGGAAAAAGGAAAGAAAATGTGACTCTTAGCAATGGCTTTGTTGCCTTTACCATAACAAGGAATCCAGTATTAAGGTGTCCTGGCAATTTTTTGGAATGAATAGTGTTACGTTATGGAAATTGTGTTATGATTGTGTCATTAATGAAATTGAATGGGTGTTTAGTTTTTCTTTTTCAATTATGTGTGGGTTTCAGAAACCTTGGATTTCAAATTCCTGTTGAAGTCTAAGGACAGCAATGCACCTTGTTTTGTTGAGGAGGGTCCAAGCCGCCTGCTTGTTGGGGGAGCACTGCAAGAGGATGCCAGGGTTGCATTGTTTAGGCTTGATAGCGGTGAGGTTCTTGAGTATCAAGTGTTTGTTAAAGCAGATAGGGTTTCTCCCTTTGACCTTGCCGCTAGTTGGAGGGCTTATCAGGATAATTTCCGTCCTTCATCAGTGAGATGGATTCCTGATGTCAGCATAAATTCAGCACCTCAGATTGGTGGTGAGGTAAGATGAAAAAAAAATTCCTTTTTGGCCACCTTCATTTTATTTTGCACAGAGTGTTAGTCTGGTTCTATGGTTTGTGCATGTTGGACGTCTTGCACTTAAAACCTCACATTTTTTTTATACAATATTTTTCAACTTTTAGTTCCAAAATATTGGTCATTTTGATATTCCAGTTTATTTTTCCTTTGATTGTTCAATATCTGATGTAATGTAATCAGAAGTATTCTTTAATTGCAACTAACTTTGTTTGTAGTATTTTTCTAATCTGAGGGGGATCCTATAAGCAACGGATATTTTCAAGCTTCAAGTGATTTGGACTTACTTTATTTTTTGGTCCAGAATGGTTCTTCTGTGGGTTTGGAGCTTGATCTTGAGCATTATGTTGTCCCAACTCCAGCAACTTCTGCAAATACAGCCCATGTATATGCAGCCAACTTGACAGAGAATCCAAGGTCACTAGTTAGTGGGTCTGGCAGCAGTTCATATCCCATCAAGGTTTTACTTTCGTAACCTCATTCTAAAGTTGTGATTATACTTTCTAATGTACTACTAGTTATTTACAACTTATTGTTGTGAGGATAATTGACTAACTAAACACTTAAATCTGTCCATTGTAATCCCTTTAATAAATTTTAAGTGCTTATTTTCAACATGTTCAAATTTTCACCATGAATCTTCACTCTTTCTTTATGATGTATCTGTAATTGGATTTTACGTAAAGAATTTAATTGGTTCAAGATTGAACATGCCTTCTGTGGTCCTTAATTTTGATTATTATCAGACAGATGCTTGATATTATAATAGTGTGCAAATTTGGTGCTTTCTCATGAACCTTTATTTTTCTATATTTTTAGTGGATATGGAATTGTATTTACATAAGATTAATTCTTTTAAGATTGAAAATGAAATTTCTTTTGTTTGTCAATATCTGTGACTAGCAGGCAGATACTTGACTCTACAAAGTGTTAATTTGACTTTCTCTCTCTTTGATGTATGTCTTTATATCATTATAAGTAAAAAATAACCGTGTGGGATGTTTAAAATGCAAAAATGGCACATCAAATCTTAGAGACAATACATAAGGAAGTAAGCTAATAGGTTATATTGATTCCTGATCCTGCAACACGTAATTCATTACATCTAATAGGTTATGCTGATGTTCCAATCAGGAGATGGAGGTTATTGTGCCTGATCCATCTAAGATGTTTCAAAGTTCTGGAATGGTTGAATCCAAGTCAGTTGGAACATTTTCACCTCTGCAAAGGCAAGAGAGTCAGAGGGGACTTTTTGTTGATAGAGGTGTTGGATCTCCTAGACTTGTAAAATCTTCTAGTTCAAATATTTTCTCGACTGATCTCAATTTGGATAATGATACCAAGGTTTGTGTAACTGATTTCCATCTGTTGTTTATTGTACACATATATTGCATGTCAACTAAGTTATTATGTTATAAGGTTTTCCACAAATAATTGCTTTTGCTCCTTTGCCTTTTTATTGATAGAATTCTATGCCAGCTGCCGCTGGAGCTGTTGCTGCTGCAGCTGTTGCTGATCAGATGATGGGTCCCAAGGAAGATAGACATTTGGCAATTATCCTGGTATTATTATGGCATGATGAGTATTTAGTTACTGATGCAAATCTTGGTAATTAGTTTCTCTATTGTTAATGAGAATATTTGTTTCCTGGTTTTCTATTTTGTTATCAAATAATCAGTTTCCTATAATTAGTTTCTATCTTGTTTAGTTTCTTTCGCTATAATAGTTTCTATCTTGTTTAGTTTCCTTTTCTAAGTTATTTTCCTTTTTATTATGCATTCTATTGAAGCCTCTGTTTTGTAAATTTTTAGGATCAATTTGAATAATATTTCTTTGTTTTATATCAAAAATTTTCTTGAATTGTATAGTGGAATTCTTTCATTACTCTGCTGCACTAATTAGTCATTAATATTAGTAGCTTTGGTAACTATTGGTCACTATTTTATTTCTTCAATGTGGAGTTCTTAGTTGTAAGTTTCTTAGAATATATACTAAAGGCTTGAACTTGGAAATTTCTTTTATGTAGGTGGGTCTGCCAGCCCGAGGTAAAACTTTCACGGCTGCTAAACTTACAAGATATCTTCGTTGGTTAGGTCATAATACCAAACACTTCAATATTGGGAAGGTTGTTCACATTCTTAACATCATTCATCTATTTAATCAATAAACTTTGACCTAGTGAGAAGCTAGAGATACATTGATTGTCAAGTATGAAATTTGAAGATTAACACACTTTATTTTTTTGTCACAGTATCGTCGCCTTAAGCATGGGGCTAATCAGGTAAAGTTTATCTGTGAATAATTTATGCCTTCTCATTTAATGATTATCTGCATCACTAAATATATTTAATATCACAAAAGTTCTCATGATTGCAGAAAAACTCACTTATATAATTCTTGCTTTAGTTTTTGCTTTTATTTGTATTCCCCCGTTGCATGTGGTACTATATACTGATGCATGATACTGACTGTCATAAGAATATATGTGGTTCATGGTAGTGCGTGAAAACTATGATGCATAGATACGATATGAGTATTTGCGATTCGTCTTCTATTAAAAATATAAGATATGATACGTATCTACGTGTGTGTATATATATATATATATATAATTATTAAATATTATTTAAATTAAATATATTTTTAAATGTATATATGACTTTAAAAAAAATGTAAAATAAAAGTTAACAATAACTACTTATTGTTTAGAAATAGCAATAGTATCAATTTCATCTCCTCCTTGAGCTTCACCAGTAAATAAAACAACTTTCATGTCTGATTCATCAAGAGATAATTTTGTCACTCTACATAGTAACAACTTCCATGTCTGTTTCATCAATTGATAATTTTTTTTAATTCTTTTTCGATACGAATATTTTAAGTATTGAAGTGAATCGGTATCCGATACGGATATGTTGGGCTTGCCAACGTATCGGTGCATCAGAGGGTGAAAATAATGCCAAAGCAGTGTTCTTAGAATTCTTTATCCAGAAATTTGATAGAAACGTTCACATTTGGAAAACCACGCTACAAAAGCTAGTCACTGTAGTTGGACAGTTGGAAAGGTCATGTCCTTATAAATCCTCATTCGCACTAATGCAGAAAAAAGTGTGGTAGAAAGTTCTAGTACCATTTTATAAGAACCATGGGAGAATTGAACCATAAAAGCTAGTCACTGTTGTTGGAGAGCTCAAGACACTGAAAACCTCACTCTAGAATCTTTTACTTCTCATGTGGGACTCATTTTCCATAACTTGGAATATGCTTCAAGTTTAGAAGTGAAAAGAACGTAGTTAAGTAGATAATTTACTAAAACATTGATGGTTAGTGATTGTGTCTTTTTAACAAGATCAATGCCCCATACATGCACACCCCTCTCAATTATTAGATAACCCTAAGGTTTTTGTTTGACACACCCACAACTTCTGTATTTGTTATCTCTTTCATGGCTGCCCCTTTGGTAGATATTGATTTGTATTTGTAAGCCTGAGATCAGGCAGAAATGTGAATATGAAAATGAGCACCATTTGGAAGGAAATAGCCTACGAGTTTCTATAGATGAAATGAGAAACATGCTCAATATCATTCAATTGAATAGTTGACCCACCTCATGTAGGGATGTGGCATTTTGTGCTTAAATGGGTATGTTTGCAGAATTACTGTTTTGACAAAGTGGGTCTGGAAGGAAATCTACTTTGAATAACTAGGGTATTACATTACAGAGAAGTTCACAGTTGTTGATGATCAATGGACTTCATCTTGATGATTTTAATGGGGTGCTGGTTTTCGTGATTTTTATTTATACCTGAAGGAAATGGTTGTAATTTTGACTACGATACCAAAGGCATGTGCTTAGGTAGCATTTCACATTCGGACAGAACAAAATGGAAGTGAGATCTGTTCTATTATGTTAGCCAAATGTAGCACATTTTAGGACCTCCATCCCAATATTCTATTTGTTAAATTCACCAAAAGTTGAGAACAAAATTCATGTGTTATGTTCCATCCCATGTAGCGGGCCGAGATTCTGTTCAGGTGTAAAGTGTTAACTATTTTCCTTTTTTTTTTATGTCTGTTTGACCTTTCATTGGCAGACAATAGTCATTGGCTTGAATTAGTAAGTAAGCAGTTGAATTTATTCATCCTTGAAGCAGGTATTCATGAGGACTGGCTTCCAACGATATGAGTCACTTAACCTAAAAGCTTAAGTTATGGGAGACAAAAAAATTGTTTTCATTACACACCCTTTCAAATGAAAGCCCTGTGGGATTGAAATGTTGACCAAGCATACTGTTACAGTTTCCTTGTACTGGAATTGGATGTTTACATAATGAAATTCTTAAGATAGAAGGTTGAAAGTATTGAACTCTTAACAGTTAAAGAATCTGTTATATTGAGCTAACACCATAAGAATGAATTTTATAATCCTACCTTCTTCGCTGATCAAATATAATGTTTTGTAAGAATCATAAAAGTTTCAATATTTCCACATAATGAGGCAATGGACAGATGATTTGATAGGATAATACCCTATTGACTAATTATATGTAAGACTACCGAAATAGGAATGAAATCATAATTCTATGCCTTATTTCTTTCATATAAAAGCAAAGTGCCAATCATTGTCTGCCTTGCACAATCAAATAACAGAAAATGTCACAAGTAAATGGAATATCCACTGCATGGCAGATATAATCAATTTCTAAAATAACTATTTTCTATATTGATTTAATTCTTCAAACATAGTTTGCAAATTGTTAGGACCTGGGAATAAGAGGAGAGCCCAACCCAAAAAGACTAGGCCATTAGGTAGGAGAGCCCCAAGACTGACATTGACCTGATCAAATTGTTAGGACTTTAGCACAAGAGCAGCAAAAGGATAGTGCATTAGGTGGGAGAGCCTTAAGACTGAAGTACCGGCTTAAGTAACTCATCCTACTCAATGTGGGACTCCTAACATAATTCCCTTTTTAAACGTTTCGTTCTTGAAATAAGATGTTGCACCACTAGTCCCAGGGTTTCTTGGGTAATCTTAATCATGTCACTCTACTTTGCAGTCTGCTGATTTCTTTCGAGCTGACAATCCTGAAGGCGTGGAGGCACGCAATGAGGTAGTTTTTATCTATTTTTTATAATTATTTAATTTGAGTAGATTAACTACAAGTCTGTGATAACTGACCTAAGAAAACGTATAGCTTGCATGCTAGGTCATAATTGTTTATTACTACTTAATATTTAGAATTCTGTGATGGTTTTGCTAAGATATTTTGTTGAATCTTATTTAATGGGGCTATATTGTTTCGCAAATCTTGCTCATTTAACAAATTATTTTGTCAATATGCCTTTCTAGGAAACCAAAAACTATCTGTTTTTTGTTCAGAATCATCCATGCCACTGTTTCTTGAATAAAACTAATATTTATCACGTCTGAACATTTTTTGTGATTGGTAAGTACAGCATAGTGCTAGCCTCAAAAAGGATAGGAAGCTGACAGTTAGAAACAGAGGATTGACATAGTAGATGTTATAATGCAAAACGAATTGGATAATGTCAAATGTCAACACCATCCTGATTCCATAAAGTAGAGGGGGAATCCAAACAGAAAATTCCTATGGGTATGTGTGGTTTAAAACAGTGTTACGCCTAAAAAAAAATGCTAAGACTGTTGTCTGGTTTATTTTGAACAAATCTGTTAATATAAAGTAACACCACCAAGCTAATCTAGAATAAATGAAACAAGAGAAATTTATATTAGCAGGCATCAACATGTTGAGACCGTGTTAACCTTCAGTGTAATGCTCTTCTAATATTTGATTTATGATGTATGTTTCTCATAAAGTTGACACCACGTTGACCCTTTCTCTGTGTACATAGTTTTAATATATCACGTGCCATTAGGTAGCAGCACTGGCATTTGAAGATATGATCTCTTGGATGCAAGAAGGTGGCCAGGTAAGTTCATTCTTGTTGTATATTTCTGTTACTTTAATATGTTCTTTCATGCTATTTTGCTAAGTTATAATTTTGATTTAGGTTGGGATATTTGATGCCACAAACAGTAGCAAGGAACGCAGAAATATGCTGATGAAATTGGCTGAAGGAAGATGCAAGGTAGTCAATGATGGAACTGAAATAAGTATATGATATAAATAATATATTTACTTCTGAACTCTTCTGATCCATAGTTGTGTTTTCATTGTAGATAATCTTCCTTGAAACAATATGCAATGATGTAAATATAATTGAAAGGAACGTTCGTCTGAAAATTCAGCAAAGTCCTGATTATGCAGAAGAGTAATGTTTCATTTAAAACCAGTGATATTTTGATGGCTATGTGCATACATATGCAATTAACTTTTTTTGCAGGCCAGATTTTGAGGCTGGATTACAAGACTTTAAAAATCGTCTGGTCAATTATGAGAAGGTAAGTGCATACCATGTGCTTTTAGTGATTGTTCTACCTGAGCTTGTTCCTTAAACAATGTTGATTCCGTGCACCAGGCTTATGAAACAGTAAATGAAGGATCTTACATAAAAATGATTGATATGGTCAGCGGACATGGTGGACAAATACAAGTAAGCTCAATGTTTATTCCTTTGTTTCATTGAAAATAATCCTTGTACATAGTTCACTATCGAGTTGGCTAGAGTCACACAGATTGCACTTGAAAGTTTATTGTCCGTATAGTAGCTGTTATTTGAGAGTTGAAAAGTGATAGAATGTCGTAATATCAAACAAGAAATCTGTGATGTAATTAGCAAAAGATGTGTAGATAATTGTAGAAGAAAAGTGTTACAAGTTTTGTAGCTCAGCAGCATATTAAATGTGTTATTTCCCTTTCCTTCATGGTGTTCCTTATACGATTGGATATAGCTGGTTTGGGAATCAGCTCCGCTAAATTAGTGACTTAGGTCAGGTTTGTAATTTTTACCAGACTCAGAAACTAGATGTAAATTGTAGTTGTAGTGACTCTTTATGATGGTATCTTGGAAATTGAAATGGTTTAGTTTCACACACAACTTTAAATAATTATATTATTCTTGATTTCTCTTTATCTTTTTTATCTATTCCATGGCTGACTTAAAGCACAAAATTCAAGATGTTTTTGTGCTGTGAAGAATTAGTTTTGGAAAGGACTATTGCTATCATATGAAAATGTTATGGTGTACCTGTGTTAGAATTCAAAACTAGCTGAGATTGAATGTAGAGTACCTGTGTGTATGTCGTTCAGTTTTGCGCTACCCATATAGTTTCTAGTGTGACTTTGATTTGTTAATTTTTAATAACTTCTGTGACTTTTGGTCTAGGTGAACAATATCAGTGGTTACCTTCCTGGACGAATTGTCTTTTTCTTGGTAAGCTTTTTTGAATGTAGTTAAATACAAAAATTACAGTCGAATGGCACCCATGCACAAACAAACAAAACAATAAAGTTGATTCATTACTACCTGACCCAATATTTACAAAACGTAATTGACCTACCCTGAACTTTTATCCTTTGAAGGTACAAAGTGCCTTAAAATTAACCCACATATTATGTGATGTAAATAATTTGTTTGGTTTTATGTGATGAAATGCATAATTGAGCTTTCATAATTGACCTTGTGGAAAGCCAGGGTTCTTTTAAGGTACAATGCTTCTTTTTAGTGACCAGGGTTTGACTTTATAGTTTATAGGTCAGATGCAAAAACAGTATCTACTGAAAATCAAGAAAACATTTTTATGATACTTACCTTATAACTCCTCAAATGGAAAGTTCTATTAGCTGAACTCAAATCCTGAGTACTATTCTGCTGCTCAATCTGAATGAAGAAAGAGGCTCTTGTAGAATGTGGACAAGATGTATAGCTATTAATTATAAGCAGATTATGTTTCATAAACTTTTATTTTAGAGATAATTGTGCGGAGATAATGTAGGAAAGTGAAATATTAATTTTAATAGGGCAGGGCCAGGAATTCTTACCAGATTAAGGGCAAAATATTACTGAGTTGAACCATTGTATTGTATGTTTACATAAGGGAAGTTTACAATAATTAATAGGTAGCTAACATAATGTTCAAGTTGACTTATTTAACATTATGGAACATGAAATACGCAAAACCCATGCATGGATGCTCGAACTAAGCTAATTAACTTGTTTTTATACTCACTAATAAATACAAGTTAATATCCCTGGAAAACATGACAGGATTTCACTGCTCAGTCTAAATTTGACTTAAATGGACATGCTTTTCTTGGTGTCATGTGGTTATAAAATGAAAATGGTTTTCATAGAAGATTAATAATGCTAGCTGTAAAAGTTATATATTTCACGAAACTAATATCTACAAAGTTATGAATAGAGTGTATATCACTGGTAACTTTCTTCTATTTCATTATCATACAATCTATATGAATCTTAATTTATGTGCAGGTAAATACACATCTTACACCACGCCCAATATTACTTACTCGACATGGGGAAAGTCAGGATAATGTGAGAGGGCGAATTGGTGGAGATACTGCAATAAGGTATATTCTTAGTTTTGGTCTCATAAGTTGCAATTTAATGAAAATTTAAAATTGTGGATGGTATTATGATATAGAAAAGGAAGAGAGATGGATTTAAATAAGTAAATGAACAATTTGACCACTGTTTTCATTTATTAATAAATACATACATTGTGGAAAGTGGGGTTTTATTATTTGAACCTTTAAGATTTCCTCTCTTCTTTTTCTTCAATCTCCCTTCCCCCTTTCAATTGTAGAAATAAGGCTTGTTGACTTCTAATGAAATGGGACAATCGGTTTCTGAGGGAAGACGAAGGTTGTTAGATAATAAATTCAAGGACTTTAATACAAATTTGAAATGGTGAAATAGTTTTAATGTTTGAATGTTATTTCATTACTCTCTTTTGCTAATGTGAAATCTGACATTTTTAGAATCATTTTTAATATTTAGCTGAGTACCTAAAAACTCCAAGTAATTTGTTGTAATAGTGAGGCTGGAGAACTTTATTCGAAGAAACTTGCCAAGTTTATTGGAAAGCGTCTCAAATCAGAACGGGCTGCTTCTGTAAGCTTTATTAACTACATAGATTAAATCTGTCTCTCTTTCCTTGAAAGTCAATTCTCAAACAAAGTTGATGCTTATTATCCTTCTATACTTATATGACTATGTCCTTGTCTGCCAAATCTGCATATAACATTTATGTTGTACTGTGATCTAGTGCAATGATTTTATGTCACTTATAGAAATCTCCTAAACAGCATGTATAAAATTGTTAAGAATATTATTTTATTATCTTTTATTTAAATTAGATATTAAGAGATTTTTGTTATCTTTTAAGCATGAATTAAAGTGATGGATGATTTGTGGTATTTGTAATTGGTTGACTAGATATGGACTAGTACCCTACAACGAACAATTTTGACGGCCAGTCCAATAGTCGGGTTTCCCAAGGTTACTGTCAATCTTTAGCTTATTGTTGTGAACTGAAATGTTATTTATCTCACGAGAAATAAGTTGACAAATTTACATATTATGAACTATTATGTGTATGTTAGATACAATGGCGTGCACTTGATGAGATAAATGCAGGGGTGTGTGATGGTATGACATACGCAGAAATAAAGAAAAACATGCCAGGGGAATATGAGTACGTTGCAACCCTGTACTTTCTTTCTTATTTGCTAGTGAATGCAGCTAAATATATAAGATAACAAAAGAAGCCAAATGTGAAACTTCTTTTGGTTTTGGGGTTAGAAGATAATCAAGCCATGGTTATTATCCCCCCTCGTTTCATATTGCAGGTCCCGCAAGAAGGACAAGCTTAGGTATCGTTATCCTCGTGGCGAGTCTTACTTGGACGTTATTCAAAGGTACATTTTATTTTATCAACATTATTTTGCTCCTTGCATCAACTTGCTTGGTACCAATAACTCCACTTTTACTAATACTACAGGTTAGAACCTGTAATTATAGAACTTGAACGACAACGAGCACCCGTTGTTGTGATATCTCACCAGGTTGTACGCAAGACATTAAGCTAAATCCGTGCTTGTATGGTTGACTTGTTCTAATCAGTGAGGTTTTCCCATCCTTTTCTCATTGCAGGCAGTTTTGAGGGCACTATATGCATATTTTGCTGACAGGCCTTTGAATGAAATTCCGCATATTGAGGTTAGCTCAACTTTTATCAGATTTGTTTACTAGATGGGTGCACATGAAACATGGACTTGATTCATACTTTGGTCTAATTCACTTGATTGCAAATATTTAAAGAACAACGAATAAGGCCTCACAGATTTTGGTGGGGCTCATGATGTGAGTTGAAGAAATCATGATTTTTGGTGAATGATGATGAATATGGTGAAGATATCTGACGTGAGATTTGTCACTTCCAGGTTCCTCTTCACACGATAATTGAGATACAAATGGGAGTCACGGGTGTCCAAGAGAAAAGATATAAATTAATGGACTGAAATGAGTTGAAGCAAGAATTCTCTTCTTGATACTATACTATTACTATGCCTTACGAACCAATTATCCATTCTTCTGATTTCAATTTATTGGCAAAAGGTAATATTCCCCTATTTGGACTACATTGTTCAAAATTACCATAACGAAGGGAAGTTGTGCTCTTAAAATTCAATATTATTTCATTTCAACAGTAAATGACCTATCTTTCATGAATATTATATTTAGACATAATCTTATGAGTTTCAGTTCTTGATTGGAATTAGAAAAGGAATGCCTAACACTATGGTAAGTGTCATGTGATAATTCTTTTACTTCTGTAAATACCAACGGGAGGAGAAAAAAAATGCTTCAAAAGGTGCTATCAATTTATGTTCAGGTCTGTACTTGTTCATAAACACTTTTTAGAGAGAAAAATAAGAAAAAAATATTAATTAAATAAATTCTTTTAAACTCTCGGACACTTAAACCTTTCCATCAAAATGCATGACTATAGTAAAATCCTCTTTTTTTATTTATTTGGAGAATTTTTTTCACATTTATTCTTGTGTCATACAGTTGGCACCCATCAGTACAATACATATTACATATCTGTTTTACTCTGCCATGCTTTTATTGGTTCCCAACATAAAGTGAAAGGAAAGCAAGTAAGAAGTATAAAAGGAAAGAAAGTTGAAGAATAAACTTATAGAGAACGAATTTTAAATTGGTTAAAAACAAAATATATAAATTCAAGAAGAAATTTTATTTTTGTTGAATATAATGAAAAACTAGGTATAGGATTAATTCCATCATATTTAAAATATATATAGGATAATATATTTTTAATTAAGAATCATACAAGTAAATATGGTAAATATATTGTGACTAATAATATCTAAAATATCTAATACTCCCCTCAAGCTTATGTATATAAATCATATTAACAAAATTTGTTATAAATATAATCAATTCTAGATCCCGGTAAAGACTTGGTAAAAATATCTGCTAACGGTTCACTTGAATTAACAAAGACGATTTTAATATCTCTAGATACAATCTTTTCTCGAATAAAATAATTGTTATCTTCAATGTGTTTGATCTTTTCATGAAAGACAATATTAAAGCTAATATGAAGAACAACATGATTGTTACATATAAATGTCATTTGAGTTATATCTCTAAATTGCAATTCTTTAAGTAATTGTTTAAGCCAAGTAAGTTCACAAGTGGTTAAGGTCACATCTCTATATTTTGTTTCTGCACTAGATCTTGCTACAACACTTTGTTTCTTGCTTTTCCAAGAGATTAAGTTACTTCCAATATCCGGAAGTAGATATTCTATTAGAAGGAGATCCTGCCCAGTCAGCATTTGAATAACAAACAACTTTAGCCTAGTTATTGTGATCATATAACAAACATTTTCTAAGAGATCCTTTAATGTATTTTAATATACGAATGACTGTACTTCAATGATCTGCACATGAGAAATTATGAAATTGACTCACTACACTAATTGCAAAGAAAATGTCAGGACGAGTAACAGTAAGATAGTTTAATTTTTCAACTAACTTTTTGTACTTCTCAGGATTTGAGAAAGGCTCCCCCTGATATGGTAGGAGTTTGGTATTGAGATCCGTGAGTGTGTTAATAGATTTTGAGTTCATCAACATAGTTTCTTCTAAAATATCCAGTGCATACTTTCTCTGAGATATAATAATGCCATTATTAGATTGTGCTACATCAACCTCAATCCCTAAGAAATATCTAAGTATCTAAGTTTGCCAAAATCTTTGGTCTGAAAGTGGTGACAAAGGTGTTTTATCTGAGAGATGTCATGGTGATCACTCCCTATAAGAACAATATCATCAACATATACTATTAAATAGATACACCCAACACTTGAGTGATGGTAAAATACTAAATGATCTCCCTCAGAGTCATACCAAACTACTAAACAACACTGCTAAATTTTCTAAACTAGGTCCTAGGAGATTGTTTTAGGTCATATAAAGATTTGTGAAGACGAAATATCAATCCAGAAGACTCCTTATGAGCAACAAAGCCTGAAGATTGCTCCATATAAATTTCTTCCTGCAAATCTCTATTAAGAAAAAAACATTTTTGACATCGAATTGGTAAAGAGATCATTGTTGAAGAGAAATAATGACTATGAATAAGTGAACAAAAATCATTTTTGCCACTGGAGAAAAGGTGTCACCATAGTCCAAACCAAAAATTTGTGTGTAACATGACGAACTTTAAGATGATCAATAGTATCATTAGGACCAACTTTGATAGCAAACACCTACTTGCAACCAATAACAGATTTCTCAGACGGTAACTGGATGAGTTCCCAACTTCCGTTATTCTGAAGAGCACTCATTTCATTAAACATGGCTTAATGCTAGCCAAGATGAGCTAAGGCATCACCAAGAGATATGGGAATTGACACATAAGAAATGGACGAAAGATACGTATAAAAAGGTGGAGATAATCTATGGTAACTCAAAACAGTATAATAAGGAGAAAAATTACAAGTAGAATATATACCTTTGCGGAGGACAATTGGAAGGTCAAACTCAATTGTCGGAGTCAGAGGAGACAAATGAGTTAGCACTAGATGGGAATCATTTGGTGGTTGTTGGGATTGTTGTCTTTGATTATTGTTAAGGTTCCAACATAAAACCAATTGACAACATGTGGAGTAGCCTAACATGTATTTAAACCATACCAAATGACATGAGGTAGACGATGTGGGATTTTCAACACGTTCCCTCCAACGAAGCTTGCCGAACCAGGCAAAGAGTACTTTTGACCCAACTAAAGGACAACTTTTTGGTCCATGACAATAATCGGAAAGATGTTAGACTTTTGGCTCTGATACCATGTTAAGGTTCCAACATAAAACCAATTGGCAATATGTGGAGTAACCTAACATGTATTTAAACCATACCAAATGACATGAGATAGGCGATATGAGACTTTCAACAATTATAAACCTGAAGTGGTGGTGGTGGAAGAGAACCCAAAGGTGGGTTAACAGGAGAATCACGAACAATAGGAATATTGAGAGTAACATATGGTGACACACATGGAGAAGAAAAATACTTAAAATAAAAGGAAGACTCATTAAATGTGATATCTTTACAAATAAAATAACGGTTAAGAAAGGGAGAGAAACACTTATATCCTTTTTGTGATCGAGTAAATCCTAAAAAAATACATTTATGTGATTTAGGAGATAATTTATCAAGACCAGGACTAAAATTATAAACAAAACATATAGACCCAAAAATTTTAAGAGGTAAGAGACGTAGAGGTTTAGGAGGAAATAAAATAGAATAAAGAATTTTGTTATTTAGAGTCAAAGATGACACACAATTGATAAGATAACATGCAGTAAGAACAACGTCACCCAAAAAATGTTTAGGAACCTCACCATGAATTAAAAGAGTGAGCTATTTCAACAAGATATATGTTCTTGCGATCAACCACCCCATTTTATTGAAGTGTATAAGCACATGAAGTTTGATGAAGAATACCATGAGAAACCATAAAATTTTTAAAAGAATGAGAAAGGTATTCACAGTCATTATCACTTCACAAAATTCGAATAGAAATCCAAACTGAGTTTTAATTTCATTAAAAAGGATTGGAATGTAGAAAACAACTTATAACGATTTTTCATTAAAAACAATCAAATACTTCTAGAATAATCATCAATAAAGGTAACAAAATATTGAAAATTTAAATTAGATATAACATGACTGGGTCTTCAAATGTCAGAGTAAACTAATGCAAAATGGGATGAAACATGTTGTGAGACACTACGTGAAAATGAACTACGATTATATTTTCCTAATTGACATGACTCACATAATAAACTAGATAAATTAGACAAACTAGGAACAAGTTGGTGCAATTTGACAAGACTGGGGTGACCTAGTTGAACATGGAGGAGAGATGGAGATTTCATAACTCTACCAATATGTGTAGAAGGACAAAGATGATAAAGATCAGGAGAATCTATAATTGTACCAACATATGTAGAAAGGTGGAGATGATAAAGATCATGAGATTCACATCGGATGCCAATCATATATCTCGAATTCCGATCATGTAAACAAACAAAATCTTTGGTAAAAGAAATAACATAATAAAGAGAATAAGTTAGACGACTAATGAATAATAAGTTAAAAAGAGACCCAAAGACATAAAAAACATTATCAATGGATAAAGATAGAAAAAGTTTAACAGTACCAATACCATGAGGCAAAACCCTAGACTCATTAGCCATTATAATCGAATGTAAATTATTCGAAGAGGATAAAGAAGAAAACAAAGATTTGTTCCCAATAATATGGTATGTGGTGCCTGAGTCAAGAATCTAAAGTTTAATAGAAGTAGATTTGTATGTAGTATAAGATGATATAGAATCCATAGTAGATGACTGTGGAACAGCAGAACAAGTCATGGAGGAAGAGAAAAACAATCTTAAAAACTTTAAATATCATGTGGAGACTTCGATAGCGATGATCTCAATGACAATGTGGTTGCCTAATCGAGATGAGTAGAACTATGTGATGGTCAATTTGAACTATGACTCGAGCAGCGACGACAACAACTCCGGTGACAGTGGCAGCAAGTGCAACGGTAGCGACGGTGACAAAAAAAAAACAAAACTCTAAATACCATGTTGAATATAATGAAGAACTATATATAAAGTTAATTCTCTTATATCTAAAATATACAAAGATAATATATTTATAATTAAGAATAATATAAATAAATATAATAAATACATATATTGTGATTAATAATATCTAAAATATTTAACAATTTTATCTTTCATGTTATTAAATAATCAAATAAAAAAAAGTAACTTTTTTTTTCTTTTCTTCCTCTCCTTAATTAATTTCACTTGATTTCTTATTTATTTTAATCGTTATTTTTCTTTCACTCATCATATTTCTCTACTCTCCACTGTCAATATTCCATGCACACCCTTTGTCACATCTGTAATGTAAGAGAAGAGGACAGCAAAGCATGCATCTTGACTTGTATGTTGTTTGTTTGCACCCAACAAACAATGAATTGTAGAACTCATTCCTCCCATTCCCACTGTCATAAGACAACCTCAGCCCTAACCCACCCACCTGCTACCATGCTTATAATTTTATCTACATAAATCTCAACCTTTCAAAAGATTTTTTTTATTGAATAAAAAATTCAGAATGAATACTATATGTATTAGAAATGTAATTTAAGCAATATATATATATATATATATATATATATATATATATATATATATCAAATTTGTTATTTTTTAATAATTATTTTAAAAATATATTTTTTTAAATTGTTTATTAACATCTTTTACTTCAACATTAAGACCGTGAGAATATTGTTCATCCAATGCAATTATGAGTTACATTTATTTGTAATATTAAAACAAAGTTAAATGGAATTTTTCATTATTATTTTTTAAAATTTCGTTTAGCTTTATTTTGTATCCTTTAAAATGAATCAATAATATTTTTTATTAAACTCCGTTAAATTATATAAGCGTAATATTGATTTAGCTGATATTGTTGGCGTAACATTGTGTATCAGATTATATGTGATATGTAATGAAAATATAACTGTTAATGAGCATGGTCACGTTAAATATGACTTTTGATTGATTGACAAAATTTAAACTCTTAAATTATAATAGAAGTTACTCTGCAAAGTAATGCAGGTGACAGGACCACCTACAGCTTGATAACATGATAAGCAGCAGCTCAGATATTCCACCTCAGATCTCACCATTTCCACGCCATCTTTATCCACAAACTAACCACACTTTAATGCAAAGCCATAATCACACCTTTGCATACAATTCATTTAACTTAAGTGTTTCAAAATGTATTGTTTAATGGTAAATATATAATTTCTTCTTTTACACATGACAGATTTTTAATTTCTTCAGAAACTTGTTAAATTAGTCCTTGTACATGGACAATGTCGATGATTTTATCGTTAATACCCCATTATATAAAATTATAAGTTAATATTTTATTTAACATATTGATATGAAATAAGTAAAAAAGAAGTGAAGTTAAAAAGGACAAGGTGCAATAATTTTGAAGTGCATGGGAAGAGGCTATAGGTTCTTCTTTAAATGATACAATAATTACATGGTGGCAGTTTGGGGTACGTCAGAGTTCACGAGCCTATATGAATGAATGAATATGGACATTCACACACAGAGCATGGCATGTCTAAAATGGTGGTCGGAAGCATGCAGCAAAAAATGGTGGAATCTATGCAAAGATATTCACTGTTCCTGCCTTTGTCATTTAGCTTTGGTTGTAGGGTAGTCATGGTGTGCCAAAATAAAGTCAGAAGAAAATTGTCTCTCATCCTCTCTGCTTCCCTTCACGTGGGACCCTTCAACATCCTTTCTCCCTTTTTACACAATAATGGCCACCCCAACCCCACTTCAACTACAAAATACATATCCTCTTATGATTTCATAAACTTCTTTTTTTCATACCTATGATCTACAAACACATTTGTGTGGAAGCAAGGTTAACTTTCCTTGGTATACTTTGGCTTTGGTGCAACATTTTGCAGAAGTCTCAAGAATCCTGACTCGGAATTGTATGCCCTGCCTCTGCCTTGGGATCCTCTAAATTCGCCTCATTAAGTGAAATTAACGTACGGTCCATTGTATTACACCAAAAACTTGTTAAAATAATAACAAAGTTTTACCACGAATCGATGACTTTTTCCATGGATAATTAATTTAAGGAGTGTTACAATGATACATTAAAAATGGCACCACCGAAACCACAGTCTACAGAAACCTATATAGTATAAATTATTAAGAAGAGTACACTGCTCCACATGAATATAATAAAATTCAACCACCCCTTTCTGCTGCCGTCGCCTTCACGAGTCCTTCATTTCTGCACCTTTTTCTCATCACATCACTCTCTTCCTTGGATACAGGGATTCTTCTTTGACTTCAACCACACCCCTTGCACCTGCACTAACTGTGTAGTAGAATATATACTAACTAATGCATGAGAACACACAAATTTGTTGCTAACCACCACACGCAAGTGTATCATATGCAAGAGGCAACACCCCCTAATTTATTCCCTCATACAAAACTAACTTCACTCTCACGTAATCACTTTCACATGACACAAAACACACCAATCACACACCAACAACGCCCCAATCTACTATATTCTGTACATTTTTGTACCTAGAAGTGTCATGTTAAGCTTGCATAAAATTTATTGTGCTAAATGAGTTTGTTAAATTAGTTTAGCATTATTTCGAGATTTTCATTTAGTAGAGAACTCCATCTTCATATCAACTACTTGGTTGTTTTATAAGATTTTATCTCACTCAAAATTATCTTCATATGTTACAGTGTGTTTCTAAAAAAATATATGCGTACGCACCCACAAAAAACAAACACACACACATACACCAAGATTCTAAGCCACCCATCCTTCCAATAAAACGCCTCAAGTCTAAACCTTTGAGCCAAAACCAAACACCCTTTTGGCCACCCTTCACAATGCCAACCCAACCCGACTCACCCAACACGTTGACCCAAATGTTTCAGAACATTTTTTCAGACAACAGTAACATCATGCTTGCAGCCATCATTTCCCTTCTCCTTGTCATCCTCTTTGTCCTCCTTCTCCACCTCTATGCCAAATGGTTCCTTGCTCAGGCCCAGGCTCAGGCACACGCCCGCCGTCGCCGACGCCGACGCCGAACGACGGTGACTGTCTCCGACGTCCTTGGCCCGGCAAGGTTCCACCACTTCCACAGCTTCAACATCGAAGACTCCTCACCCCTCTCAACCAAAGGCCTTGATTCTTCCACCATTAGAGCAATTCCTCTCTTCATCTATGAGCATAACAACAAGGCCAACGAAAATGAAGAAGAAGAAGAAGAAGAAGAACTTGAATGCGTGATTTGTTTGAGTGCCTTTGAGGGAGGTGAGGTGGGAAGGTGTTTGCCAAAGTGTGGCCATGGTTTTCATGTGGAGTGCATTGACATGTGGTTGAGTTCACACTCCAATTGTCCTATTTGTAGAGCCCCCATCGTAGTAAGTGTTGTTGAGAGTGATTCTTCTCAGGTTGTGTCTTCAAGAGATCATGGTGATGAATACGGTGGTTCTGATTTTGAGATTGTGGTTGATGCTGGTTCTGATGAGACTAGAGCGAGTGAGCATGGGAATGGGAATGGCAACGGAGGAGCAAGAGCAAGTGTTTCTGTGTCAGAAACTTCTTCATCGTTTTTTGGGTGCTCTTTGGAGAGAATGCTTGGCAAGGTTTTCCCATCGACTAATTAATGTAAATTAATGAATCGCATGCTTGAGATGTATATGATCGAAGAGTCTATTTTCTACACGATTTACCATGAAATGAGCAAACATCAACTATAGTTCTGTACAGGTTTCTCTGTTTGATCCTTCTCAAATTATTCCTGGCCTTGTAGCCGTCAAAAGTTTCTTTTTCATGATTTTTTTCTTCTTTTTTTCCCTGCATCTCACTATTAGCCAAATTTTTATTCTATTAGGTTGAAGGCCAGTCAGAGCATGTTCGCAACACTGTTCACATCACATTTACTAAAATAAATCACCTCATAATAGGCTTAGTGCATGTTTAGGTTATTGTCCAAATTGTAACACAACCTAATGTACTTTTAGAGCATAAATTTAGGATTGGGTTTCTTCTGAAAATGTAATTTGGAGCCTCACAACATTTAGTCAAACATAGCTTTAAGATGATGCAAAAACTACTTCTTGTTGATTCTTATTGACGGTGGACTATCTGAGCTGTAGATGAAATTCCATCATGAAACAACATTTGTATTTTATTTAGATTTGTCCTACATGATACAAGCACTTGTATAAAATTTATCTTCATCTTAATGTTTCTTAGATCATATTGATAAACACTTCTTGATGATTAGATAACCAGCTCTTAATTTTATTTTTGATGTCTGGTAGTACCTGCATGCTTACATCATAGGCCAGTTAACTTTCACTGCTTAAGAAATCTTTTTGCTTAGATCAAATCCATGACAATCTACGAACATAACTTTATGCTGGATTGTATTTCAGAGCAATGCAGCTAGGAAGTAGCAACCACCCTCTAATGCTTCTTTTGAGCATAGTAGAGTAGGAAAGTAACAAGTGTTACCACTGGGGTAGGTTCTTAAACCAAAGGAAAAAGACAAAAGACATTACCTATTAATTAAGCACTTAACTGTTATCTGTATTGGTCAGTCACACTCATGATATTTATACCTTTCGTCATCCATTGATTGTCCTCAAGACTAGAGTTGTGTAGTTTTCTGTCACGATCCTCTAGTCCAAAAAAATGTGGTTCGGTTGCAGGAAACCAATACAGTGGGTCCATCCTCCAGTCCTATCATTTATTCAACAATTCAGACAAAATTAGTTCAGATGCTCTCAATTTGAATTTAACTTTCTTTTGAGAGTTATATGTATTATAAGTAATTAGTCACAATAACCTTGTGATTATGTTTTAAGCAAAGAGATTGATGAATAATATAAAATATAGTTACAAGCTTACTCATTTCCATACAGACAACTGTGTGCATTGTACACTCTTTCATGATTTGTTGTGACCTCAGAGGGTGGAGTGGGTCAAACAAACTGTGCAAGTGATCCCTTTAAAAATGATGTTTGCTTCACAGTATTTAATGCACACCTTGGCCTGACTCAGAAAGATGTTTGGTCAATACTGCATACAGAAAACAGAACATGGCTAATTAGTAGGGTATATAGATTCACAATTGGCTTCTTCTGCCCACATTTTCCCCCTTTGATAGCAACATGTGTTTTCATATTGAAATATAGGTTTTAATATATTTTTAATTTTACAAACTGAATTTTATTTTTTTTATATCTTTAAAATTTATTTGTTTTACTTTTAGTCTTTATAAAATAAGCAAATTTTATTTAGTTTCAATAAACAAAATCTTTGATTTTATTCTTTCAAAATGGGAACTTTTTATTTTATTTTTGTTTTTTTACATTCATTTTAAGTAGATATATAACATTCATATTGATGTTAGGAATTTTTTTTTTTTTTTTTTAGAAGTATTACATGGGTATTGCCAACACCAATAATTGTTACGTGAGGTTGAACACTTAATTAACTAATGAGTGTTATATGATGACATAGAATAAAAATAACAATTTTATATTTATTTGAAATAAAAAATTACAAAAATGAAAACCAAAACTTAAGAGAGTAAAGTCAAATTTAAATTACCGATATGCTTTAATTATTAATTAAATTTTGTGTACATATAATAATATACTCAACTATTTTTATGGGGTGGGGTTGGATGGTTAAATATGTGTTGTGGATTGTCCCTCAGATGCATTTAATGGTGGTAGATACGGCTGTGCCACAGTGCACATCACTAATGCCAAAAATATTTTATATAATACTATACTCACTTTTATGATCATTTTTTTTAAGTCTCAAAATATTAATATACATATTTATATATAATCTTGAATTTGTTACGGATTCGATTAAGTTTGATTAAATTTATTATTTAATTTTTTTTATTCAACTATTGAATTGAATCACATATTTTTAATAAATAGTTTTTTTATTAAATTATTTAATTTTAAAATATATATTTTTTATTTTTTAAAATACATTATATTATTTATTATTTAACTAATTTAATAATCTAATATATATAATTAATATAATAATTATATTATTATAAATTTAATATTGTTTAATAATTTTTAGCGATGGATTGAATTAAGTTAGATTTCATATTAAACATATAAAATCTGTTAAGTGACTTGTGACTTGTAAGAGATTGATTTGAATCGAATTCACCCAATTGAAAAAAAAATATTTAATCTACTTAAATTATATTTGATAGTTTAATTAGTTAAGTCAATGAGTATTTTAATATTTATTATTATTATTATTATTATTATTAAGAATTAACTAAATATAATATAATATAATCTAGTTAAGTCAATGAGTATTTTTAAAATAATAATAATAAAAAATGCTAGATTCAATGATAAACATAAAGCAACTTTGGGCTGGGCCTAATAGTTTTTTTTTTAATCCTGATAGGATTTTTGTTTTAATATAACTGTATCAATTAATATATGATTCATTATCAATTAAACTTCGAATTAGAACAAAAAGTAAAAATAAAATCAAGTGTTTAAAGAGAGATAATGTTACCACTACAAAAGAGTGAGAGTGTAAAAGGATCGTATGTTTATCCCCTAACTCCATTGTCAAATACTTGACTCTTTCAATTTTATTTTATTTTTATAAATTCTTTTTGGACAAATTTCTTTATAAAAATGTCAAGAGAGAAAAATAAAAGATATAATAATTTTTAAATGCTAAAATTTGTTTGAGTTTTTATAAAGTATCTTATACTTTCTCTCTAATATTTTGTTTTATAATTTGTATATAAGCTAATTTTACTTATTCAGTAATTCATTTTTTTTTTCTATTCTTATAAAAAAATCATCCAAATAAATGTAGTCTCTTATTAACAATGAATTTAATGGTGAACTTTGTTTTCTTACTCAAGCACAAAAAACAAGAAATAAAAATATTACAAATATAAAAAAGACCCTTTAAAGTTTTAAGTTTTGCTCAAATGCCAAAAAAATTGGTACCTAGGCTTGGCTTATTATTGACTAATGACTATGAATTTAAGCAAGGAGTTGTGTTTAGGTTATGAATGCATCATAGAGTGCCTACGCATAATTCACTAATCCAAATTATTAGTTCCTTAAGTAAACAATTAATCCAACACCAAATTCTTTACATTTCCACATTAAGGAACAAACCTTGGTTATACCCAAATTACGGTCCTGTTTGAATAAATTTTACATATACAAGTAAATGAATCAAACTTTTTTTGATAAATTAAATCTGTCTAGTGCATTTTATTTATTTATTTTTTAAAAGAAGTGAGGAATTGAAGTGCGTCAATTAATTTCCAACTTTTATATATAGGAGAGAGTGAAACATAATTTATTTTAGTAACAGTATATAATGTGTTATTTTACCAACTAAATTAGAATTGTATTATTTTATGTCATTATCAATATTCTCTATACAAAATAAAATAAAGAGCGGTGACAATAAAATATTTTATATTTTTATAAAATAAATTGAAAATATATGATTAAATATGAGATAGTTGTTTTTAAATTAAAAATAATATAAAAATTTATTAAAATAAATAAAGTAATTTAATATTGAGCCTTAGCATTATTTTCATCAGAAACAACCTACAATAATATTAAGTGGATTGAAAATTCTATAAAAAAAATTATAAAACAAAGTATAAAACATATGAAAGTTAAACAATAAAAATATAATATTATAAGTAAAAAACGTGGAAAATAATGTGTAAATTAAAAGAATAAAAAAATCCCATCATAACTAATTACGTGGTTTAACATAATTGATCATGCAAACCAACTTTGATAATGTTAAGTAAATGAATTACACTTACATTTGTAATTTCAATTCAATGTTTGTAATATGTATTTTGCATATTCATATTTCTATTCTATCTTGTTGGATCCTTGGGCTATAGTTAAACATATTCATCCTTCAAATAATTCAATGAAGTTAGGTTTATGTTTGGAGCTGTAAAGTAAAAAGAGTATTCTTAACAATAAAAGTGGGATCCTACTCTTTACAGACTTAAGCATCATTACAACAAATATTCCTCTATATTTTAGAATTTAAAGAGTACTTTTTATTTTTAATATAATATGTTATTATTAGAATGATGGAGGTTGCACTCAGGAGATTAGTAGACTAGAGTTTAAAATTGAAGATGATTGAAAATATGTTCAAGTTAATTTTTAAATAAAAAAATGGTCTTGATTTCATGTTTGTTATAATAGCAATCATTAATTAATGTGAGACTGAGTTATAGTCAATTCATAGATATTGTATGTTTTAAAATTTTAGTCAATTATTATTTCTTTTTAAAAAATATCTTGGTGGATTAAGAAGGAATGATATATCTAAATTACCTTTAATCTCCCATATTTGTAGAGGGAAAAATATATTTAAATTACATTTAACATCTACTCTTAAATGATATATAACTCAGGGAAATACTCTTTTATTAATTTTATAATAATAAATAAAATATAAAAATTAATTTTTTTATCATGCCATCACTAAAATAAAATTAATTTTGGTCCCGGGAGGCTCGAACTCGCAACCTTCGGCTCATAAGACCAACGCTCTAACCAACTGAGCTACGGGATCAGTTCATTTTTAATTTTAAAAATTAGTTACAGATTTTATGTTATTTTATTGTTAATTTAATAAAAAATCATTTTTAATTTAATAAAAAATCATTGTTAATTTAATAAAAAATCATTTTTAATTTAATAAAAAATCATTGTTAATTTAATAAAAATCATTTTTAAATTAATAAAGAAATCATTTTTAATTAATAAAGAAATCATTTTTAATTTAATAAAAAAATAAATTTTAAATTTTAATACAATGAATGTTTAATAGTTTATAATATTATATGAAAAATATAATAATGTTATTTCACTAAATTTGAAAGATAAATAGAACTATTTATTTATTTTAAGAATAATTTAAATATGATAGGATTTATCCTTATACATGACACAAATGTACATTTATAGATGAGAAATCAATAGGGTTGAGCTAAGAATTTTGGTTTGTCAACCTAAAATCAGGTTAAGAAAATACAATTTGTTAAAGTTGTTTTATAGAAATAAATGTATTTAAAGAACCTAATTGAAAGTACTGCAATAACTACAAATTGTCCACCTTGTACTTGTATTACAACTCGTTATTTAGATTAAGAATTCACATTTTGAGGTGTATGATAGATCCACATCCAAAATCCCCAAATAAACATGGAAAAGGACGTGTGACTACTATTGAGAGATAGGGTTATAGGAAAATAGATAGTAACATAACACACAAAATATTGTGCAAAATGGTGTGATGAGACTAGAATTCGAGAGAGGTAATAAATTATTTCCCAAACTAACAAATGAAACATATGCATATAAAAGACTTGTCAGGCATGCAAAAACGTTTTGTTTGGGCAAAAAACTATATTTTTCTTGACAATGCGTGAAAAGGATGAGAATGAGCTTGAAAAAATGGTTAAGTTTGGGGGAGTTTTAAAAGGATGTGATATAGTTGATGCATTTCGCAAAAACTAAATTAAAAAGGCACATGGTGGAATAGGGAATCTATCTTCGTACTTTGAAGAAAGGTTAAAAGATATAAAAGAAGTGCAGAAAGCAAAAGGTTTGAGTATTGCATTGGCAAAGAATGCCACAGTCACTACTCCATTAGGATGAAGTGGAACAGAGAAAATTCAGGTCTATTTTACTTGCTTAATGCGATCACTTTTTACCTTCGTCCATTTCTTTTCCCATTCAGTGATTAAACAAGAGTAAAGAAGGTACCACCTAATATGTTGTGTTTGTTAGGAACAAGACAATAATAAAGGAAAGAATGAAGGAGAGAAAAATAAACGACACAAGAATTTTAACGTGGTTCGGCTAAAATATGTATGCCTACGTCCACGACTACACTAGGAAGTATTTTTATTTCTGTGTGTATCTCAAACTTTACATAGGGTTGCTTATATAACAAAATAGAGAACCTCATCTCACAATCCTAATCGATGTGGGACTAAATCAAGCACCATAATACTAACAATTCTCCCACTTGGAGTTTGATTTACGTTACCACCTAGTGTAGTGCCTTCATCATCAATTTGCTCGAAGGCCAGTTGAGGCAATGCAAAGCCTCAACTTAGTTGTTGTAACAGTCTTGGTCAACATATCAGCGGGATTCTCTGCACCTGGAATCTTCAACAAACTCAAGTCTCCATCATTTATCGGGTTTCGATAAAATGATACTTCAATTCAATGTGCTTACATCCGGAATGAAGGATTGGATTTTTAGCAAGACAAATAACACTTTGATCTGTCACTAAACAACGGAGAACCATCTTGTTCTCTTCCTAATTCTTTTAGAAGGTTCTTCAACCATATCATCTCCTTCGCCGCTTCGAGATAGCTACATACTCGCTTCGGTGGTTGAGAGAGAGACCATTCCTTGAAGTTTAGACTTCCAACCGATAGCTGTACCACCCAATGTAAAAATATAACCTGTTGTGCTCTTTCTACCGTCAAGATCACCTCCCAAGTCCGCATCGGAAAACCCCTGTAAAATGAGATTACTTCTCTTGAAAGACAAATGCATCTTTGAAGTGCCTTTCAAATATCCGAATATCCACTTCACTCCTTCCCAATGCTCCTTTCCGGGATTTGATAGAAATGCTGCTCACAACTCCCACTTGCATGTGCTATGTCCGATGCCGGTGCAAACCATAGCATACATCAAGCTTCCTACTGCAGATGCATATGGCACTTTAGACATGTGACTTTCTTCTTCTTCTGTTTGAGAAGATTGCCTCTTTGAAAACTTTAAGTGAGTTCCCAAAGGTGTATTCCTGGTTTTAGCATTCCCGACATTGAATCTGCTAAGCAATTTTTTTATATATTTTTCTTGAGATAAGTTCAAAATACCTTTATCTCTATCTCGGGAGATTCTCATACCAAGAATTTGCTTGGCTGGACCAAGATCCTTCATTTCAAAGCTCTCGACAATTGTTTCTTCAACTTGTCAATTTCGCCATATTAGCTCCAACAATCAACATGTCGTCAACATATAAGGCAAGAATGATATAGCTATCAACATATTTCTTCACATAACAACAGTGATCTTCTTCACATCTGCGAAATCTCGAGTTTTTCATAAACTCATTAAACTTCTTGTACCATTGTCTCGGCGCTTGTTTTAATCCGTACAAACTTTTATGAAGCTTGCATACAAGATTTTCTCCGCCTTGTACTTCAAAACCTTTTGGGCTGTGTCATAAAAATTTCCTCTTCAAGATCCCCATGTAAGAATGCGGTTTTGACATCTAAGCTGCTCCAAATGAAGATTTTCTGCAGCTACTATACTCAAGATAACTCGATGGTAGTCATTTTGACAACAGGAGAGAAAATTTCTGTGAAGTCAATTCCTTGTCTTTGTTGGAACCCTTTCACTACGAGTCTAGCCTTATATCTTTTGCTTGCCATCCGGTTCTTCTTTCAACCTATAGACCCACCTGTTTTGCAAAACTTTCTTTCCTTCCGGTAGCTTGGTTAAAGACCATGTTTTATTCTTCCGAAGGGACTTTATCTCATTTTCCATTGCTAGCTCCCACTTAATAGATTCATCTCCCTGCATAGCCTCAGCAAAATGCTCCGGCACCTTTGTTTAAAATAGAAAAGATAAGGAAAAATACGAAATTGAATATGTGTTTCTTTTATTTTATTACAAACAAAATTGTTTAAGAATTATTTTAATTGATATTTTAAACAAATACTTAGAATAATATATAGTTCACTACGCAAAATAGAAAACAAAAAATAAATCAAAACGGAAAGGGTAATAGAGAAAAACGTCATGTTTTTTTTTTTTAATGTTTTCGTGACATGTAATTTGACTAGAAATTGAATGAATTTGTAAAAGGTGCAATTAAAGTATAAGCAAAACTTTATGATAAAATTATTGAGTAATACAATATGTAATTAAATCCTAAATAAATTTATTGAATTTTAAAACTAATACACCAAATATTAAAGAAGTCAGAAAGTATAATTAGCACCATAAAATTAATTCCTTTTACTAATCTTGTATTTACCCTTCCACAATATTATTTCACTTTCACACAGGGCAAAATGTTCAAGCCCAAAGTGCTAGAACAGACATTGAAGCAGAGCCAAGAGTTAATGCAACAAAAGAGAGCTTTTTCAACCACAAATTGGAGTTCATAAGCTTGTTATGAAAGAAATCAACTGCTATGAGGTCAACAAGAGCCATGTAAATTAGTATCCCTGAAGAAACTGAACCAAGTAAACCTTCCATGATCAAGGCTTTAGGGTTACTATCATCATAACCAGTCACTGAGAATAACACCATCCCCAAAATTATCCCCATTGGTGTTGTCACTGAGAACATGAAGCACATGTACGCAGTTGTTCCAAAGCTAAACCCTGCCTGCAATTCTCATTATCACATAATCATAAATCAACATCATTTGTCACCAAGCATATGTCAAATTTGAATAAGTTGATTATCAAATATCTATCAGAATCTTGATGATGATGGGTGATGCAACTCACACCCACTTGATATGACCACATATCATAGAGTTCAACATAGAAAAAAGACAACAATACAATCGATTACCTGAGCAATGCAACCACCAAGACCCAAGCCTTCGAAAATCTGATGAAATGCCAAAGCAGCAACGAGTGGGCGAATGGTGCAAACATTCTGAGACATTCCCATAGTCACTCCAATGATAACAGAGTGAAAGATTATCCCTATCTCCAACACCTGCGACACCAGCCTCTGCTTCAACCTCATCAACTCTTCCACCCTCTCCACTTCTCCGCCACCACCGCCACTAACCAGCTCGATACTCAATGCTCCGCTGCCACCCTCCTTCTCCTCCGTCTCCACTGGCGTGTAGTGCGTGTGCTGCACGTGAGAGCTCGCAACAGTGTCCACCAGCAGAGCCATCAGAATCCCACCCAGGGTCACCTATCGATGCACCGCTAACAAAGATTCAACCCAGTGTATACGTAACTTACAAAAATCATTTCCATTGTCTATATCAAACTTTAGAAAAACATACATACATCAAAGGGAAGCATTATAATAACACATTTCAGATTCCAAATGCCAAACCAAACATCCATTAATCTTTCTCTCCAACTCAAAGTTAGACACGTAAAATTACCAGCCCAGCAAAGGGAAAATCCTTCCAAGGATGTTGTGATGCCACCTGACAATCAGAGAGCGCGGCAAAGGCATCCGGCAACACATGGACCAATGAAGTTGCAAGAATAACACCGGCAGCAAAGCATTTGATAACCAAAATGGCTATATCATAGAGAGACTTTCCTTGAAAATACCGTGCTAGCATGACCGGAGCTGAAACGCCGGCTACGCTGGTCACAAATATTGTGAAGATGGAAATCACTTTTAAGTGTGCCGCCGCGATACCGTTGCGGCACACGGTGGCCTGAGCCATATCCGTCACACACGCCGCCATGGTGTGGGGGAGGAGTTATTATTGAGAGCGTTGCGTACAAGAAGTGCTTAAAAGAGATGAAATGATGCGCACTAGTTTGAATTTAGATTTTGTGTGTTTTCTTTTAGTGAAGAGGTCCCATGCATGATGCATGCACTTGTCCACGAAGAGTGTTTTCTATTGGTGGTTGCTTTCGTGTGCTGAATCTGAAATCCATCGAGCTTCATGCAAGTGCATGCCTTTCATAAACTGTTCACTGTTCAATCTTTCGTCACGCATTTTAAAGGCTGCACATAAAGATGGAGATGACCAAAGTTGTAACTTGCTAGTGGCTAGTGTTGTCCTGCTGTTTTTAAAATTGAAACCCACATTTCTTAGTGCATGTATAGGTTAAAATCGCACACCGGAATGTTCGCGTGGTCGAACAAAAACCAAGAGGGGGTGAATTGGTTTCTTAATAAAAATTAGGTTTTCAAAATTTTCCCCAAATTTTACCGATTAAAAACTGTGTAAATGTAAATAAAGAAGAGTAGAGAAGATTACACAGTAGGTTTATACTGGTTCGGATCAAAAGACCCTACGTCCAATTGCTAATCACTCAAAAGAGGATTAATGCTGTCACTAAGAACAAATTGTTACAAAACAAATTACAAATGAAAGAGATAAAGTAAAGACAACACCTCTCTTGAAATCCACAAGAGATGAAGAACGACTTTCCCAGGAGACGGCATGACACACAATCCACTAAGAACTCCACTTAGTGATTCTTATCGCTTCTAGCCCACACCAGGTTCCAAAAGCCCCCTTTCCTTGCAACAAGCAGTTCTACGGCACTCACGACACTTAACTTTTGTATGGAAAGAGTTGTTCTTTTTTACGAGTGCCAAAGGAGAGTTTAAGTAGAGAAATTAGGGTTTAGGAATTGGGGATTTCGAAACTAGGGTTCTTGGTAATTGGGTTTTCGAAAATAGGGTTAATTTGAAATTTAAAATGAAAAAGCAGTGAAATAATCGATTATTTGGAGTGATAATCGATTAAAACAGAGTCAAATACGTCGAACCCAAACCTCTCTGGATTAATCGATTATTTGGTGAAATAATCGATTATGCTATACGGAACGGTACGAAATAATCGATTATTTTGCTTGTTTAATCGATTAAAACGGTGACTTTGTATAGAAGGTGGTTTTCTCCTTTGTTTTAATCGATTATTTACCTATATAATCGATTAAAGCCGAAGCTCGAATGATAAATTTGAGCTTTTTGAGGCTTCTAAGTTACTGGACTATGTCAGAGCTATCTTAGATTCTATAATTACGAGACTCAATCAAACTAAAACAGAGTTATTACAATACGAAATCATCAATCTTCAATCTTCAATACTCTAAGTCTTTAAGTTCTTGGATCATCATCAAAATCAACATTCTTCATGATCATTATTTGCAACATCAAGTCCTTGAATGTTCAACAATCTCCCCTTTTTGATGATGATCAAAATTATCTTTTTAAAGCCCTTGTAATAACCTATTTTATCTGTCATACTAACAAACACATTAAACATACCGAGATAAAATTTAAAATTGAATCATAGGCTTTAAATTTTTCTCCCCTATTTTGATTATAATCAAAAAGAACCTACTGCAACATCAATCATAAGAGCTCCCCCTCAAAATATGCATAATTTAGAGAAAGCTCCCCCTCAATCATAGCATGAAAGAAACATCATATTTTATTTCATAATCATTCATCCATTACAACATCAAGACAATATCAAAAGAAAATACATCGATTATCTCTATATCGAGACGACTTTAATCGATTATTTCTAGCAAATAATCGATTATACGAGGCATTTAATCGATTATTTCACGAAATAATCGATTATTCTAGAGGAGAATACCCTGTTTTGGACGTTGAGGGAAAATAATCGATTATTACTTCCGATGTCGATTATTCAGAGGCTATATCAAGTTTTTGAGATTTATATGCATAATAACCTATGAACATGCTCCACCATGAATTTTAACATAACAATCATCCGAAGCTAGATCAAATTAAGCAGATTTTAATCTATTTCTAATATCCCTAAGTCTCTTCTAAGATCATAGAATCTATCCTTGGGTAGAGGCTTAGTAAATATATCTGCTAATTGACGTTTAGTGTCTACATACTTTATTTTGCAGTTTCCTTTCTTGATATGATCTCTTAAAAAGTGATGTCTAATCTCAATATGTTTAGTCCTAGAGTGCATTACTTGGATTCTTAGTTAGATTAATTGCACTCGTATTATCACACATTAAGGGTATGTCATTTAAATATATACTATAATCCTCTAGCTGTTGTTTCATCCACGAGAATTTGAGCACAACAACTACCAGTTGCAATATATTCGAGCTTAAGTGGTAGATAAAGTTACACATGCTTGTTTCTTAGAATGCCATGATATTAAGGATGAACCTAACAAATGACATGTCCCACTAGTGCTTTTCCTATCAATTTTACATCCACCATAATCGGCATCGAGAATATCCTAATAAACTAATACAAGCATCGAGACGGATACCACAAGCCAAATCCGAGTAGTTCCTTTTAAGTATTTTAAAACATGTTTTACTGCAATTAGATGAGATTCTTTAGGACAAGCACTGAAATCTAGCACACACACAGACAGAATGCATAATATCAGGTCTACTTGCGAGTTAAGTATAATAGTGATCCTATCATACCTCTATACATAGTTTGATTAACTTCCAAACTGATTCATCCTTGTCTAGATAGCATGAAGTTCCCATGGGTGTGTTAGCTTCCTTTGAGGTGTCCATACCAAACTTTTTGAGAATCTCCTTGCTTGTATTTAGTTTGAGAGATGAAAGTGCCATCTTTAAGTTGCTTGATTTGAAGTCCAAGGAAGAATGTTAATTCTCCCATCATAGACATTTCAAACTCTCCCTGCATAATCTTAGCAAATTCTACACACAAAGAATTATCGAGTTGATCCAAAAATAATATCATCAACATATACCTGGACCAATAAGATATGTTCTTTAACTTTCTTAATAAATAGTGTAGAATCAATTTTTCCTCTTGAAAAATCATTTGCAGTTAGGAAACTACTTAATCTTTCATACCAAGATCTAGGAGCTTGTTTCAACCCATATAATGCTTTCTTCAATTTGAAAATATGATTAGGATTATTAAAATCTTCAAATCCAGGGGTTGCTCTACATACACTTCTTCTTTAATAAAACCATTTAAAAATGCACTCTTAACATCCATTTGATATAATTTAAATTTCATCATAGATGCATAAGCAAGAAGTAGGCGTATAGCCTCTAACACTGGCCACAGGAGCATAAGTTTCATCATAATCTATACCTTCCTCCTGACAATAGCCTTTTGCAACAAGTCTGGCTTTATTCTTTGTTATATTACCATCTTCATCAAGCTTATTTCTGAATACCCATTTAGTTCCAATAACTTGATGTGACTCTTCTCTTGGGATTAGTTCCCGAGACTTGATTCCTTTCAAATTGGTTAAGTTCTTCTTGCATGGCTATGCACCATTGATCATCTTTAAGTGCTTCCTCAATGTTTTTAGGTTCAATCTGTGACACAAAAGCAACAGACATACAGAAATTATTCATATTTCTAGTTCTTACCCCTTTTGAGATGTCACCTATGATATTGTCCATTGAGAGTCCTCTAGGTGATTGCCATTCTTTTGCTAATTGAGGAGTTTGAGAAGGCACATTATCTTCCAAGTATAATTCATCAAGGGCCTCTCTTATATATTCATCATCACCTGCAAGTCTTTTATTTGACTCAAGAGGATTTCCCCCAAGGTCTACAATCTCATCAAAGGTAACATGTATAGATTCTTCTATATTCAAGGTTCTCCTATTAAACACTTTATATGCCTTGCTAGTTAAAGAATAACCTAGAAAAATGTCCTCATCGGCTTTTGAATCAAATTTTCCTAGATTGTCCTTTCCATTATTTAGTACAAAACATTTACATTTACAAAACATTAGGTTTTCTACCATTAAACAATTCATATGGAGTTGATTTTATAATTGACCTAATGAGCATTCTATTTAAAACATAGCATGCAGTGCTAACCGCATCAGCCCAAAAATATTTAGGAACATTAGATTCATTTAACATAGTTCTTGCAAGTTCCTCTAATGACCTATTTTTCCTCTCAACTACACCATTTTGTTGGGGAGTCCTAGGAGCAGAAAAGTTATGTAATATACCATTTTCCTCACAATAATTCTCAAACTTTTCATTTTGAAACTCACCACCATGGTCACTACTTAAAACTTTAATTCTTAGGTCTTTCTCATTTTGTATTTGTTTTGCAAATTTTCTAAAGACCTTAAAAGCTTCACTTTTCGTAGTTAAGAAAAATGTCCAAGTATATCTAGAGTAATCATCAACAATTACAAGTCCATAATAATTTCCACCAAAGCTTTTTATCCTAGAAGGTCCAAATAAATCTAAATGTAATATTTCTAGGGGTTTTGAAGTGGAAATCACATTCTTTGATTTAAAAGATGATTTTACTTGTTTACCTTTTTGGCATGCATCACACAATCTATCTTTTTCAAATTTTAACTTAGGCAATCCAATAACTAAGTCTTTTGATATCAATTTATTCAAGTGATGCATATTTATATGAGCCGCTCTTTTATGCCATAACCAAGGGTTCTCTTCCTTAGCAACTAAACATGTTATACTAGACTCATGTAAACAATCCAAATCAATCAAATATATGTTATTATGCCTAATGCCTTTTAATTCTACTTTTTCGGAATTTACTAAATGTATGGTGCAAAATTTTCTTTCAAAAGTTACCTTGAATCCTTTGTCACACAATTGGCTTATGCTAAGAAGGTTATGCTTTAATCCATCAACAAGAAGCACATCCTTAATTTCCAATGTGTTTGCACCTCCTATGTTTCCAATTTCGAGAATCTTTCCTTTGTTGTTATCCCCATAAGTTACATATCCTTGTTCTTT